TATCCGCCGTGGGGTGGGCCCCGCGGGGGGGGGGGGGGGGTCGGCCACCCCGGGGGGCTGCTCTGGCCCCACACAGCCCGGCAGGAGGAGCAGCCCGGGCTGCACCGCTGAGGGGCTGTCTCCCCAGCCAGCCTCAGGCCAGGCCAGCCCCTGGTTACTCTGTCAAGCCCAACTTTCGAGCCCGAGGTAGCAAGTTAACATTAAGGAGTGAAGCAGAAATAGCAGACGTGCTTACCTCATCGTAATATTTCACTATGTATCTGCAGATTTCAGTCAAGGCCACTTTCTCATTAAATTCATTTTCATGTTTCTAAAACAGAAAACAGTTCTGGTCGGCTAGTTCTCCCTTTTAAAAAGCTTGACATGAAAGCAAATGAAGTTCCCACTTCTCAGCCATACCTTAGATTCCTGAGTTAGAAATTCTTCAACGTCTGAAGTGGTCAGCGGAGGCAGATCCCTGATGGCTTTGTAGTACGCTTTCACCTCCTTCTTGTAGAGTGGAATGTCCTTCGCGTAGAGGAGTTTATTTGTTGGTGCTTCCTTAAAAGAAAAGATTTGAAGCCTTGTCAGTTTTCACAGCACAGATTTCCTGAGGTTCCACCTCCACGTAGTTAATTGCATCTAATTGTGTCTGTTCTCTGTGTGACTCATGTCTCTCTGCAGTGGTTATATGCAAGGAATAACGGCTATGAAATCAAGATGAAGAACAGAGGCAGGACCTCAGTAACAGGGCATTGTGTTTCATGACAGTTGCCATATCATTATTTCTATTGTCATCAGGAGTGATGAACGTCTGTCCCTTAGACATATTTTTCTTTCTTACTTCCTCCTCGCCCCTCCCCAGACCTGAAAGGTTGTGAAAGGTGAACCAAAGGGCTTGAGGCCGGTACCCTTTTTAGTCGCAGGGTACAGCGGTGCCATGGCAAGGTCCCCTCGGGTAACACGCCAGAGAGCCTCACCAGATGCTCTCCTGGCAGAGGTTCCCCTAAAACGCCTTGGTCCCTATTACTCCTTTCGCACAGGGGTTCGAGAGCGTGGAGAGCTGCCTGCCAGCCATGCACAGCCAAGGGGATTTAGTTTTTTCCCCAGGGCTTCAACACTCCAGGTCTGTGTTGACCTACCAGGCAGCTTTAGGCTCACCCGAGGAAACAAATGCTGATGTTTGTGGTAGGAGCCAAAGCCCCACCTGGAAACAATGTTTTCAGAATGTAAAAGTGGGGGCTGGTAGTTTCCTGTCACTGCTCTAGTTTAAATTCTGGGGAATAAATGACACAACCATGTGATGTCTTGTCACTGCTGTTTCCACTGTGAAATGACATGATTTAGATGTTTGTTTTCTAAGTGGCTAAAGAATGTTCTAAGATAAAAGGCTAAAAATCATGAAAGTAAATACACTGTAGTACTAAAAGGCCACAAGATGTCCACTGCATCACAAACCTTCACCAGGTTTCAGCATCCTCTTTCAAACGGGTAATGGGAGCTGTTGTATCAACAGCTCTTCACAATGGATGTTAAGCACAGAAACCTAACAGACCATGCTCATGTGCAGCTTTTCCATCAAGTGAGTGATGTGATTAGTTCTAATTCATGACACTTCACTCCTAAAATTGGATAAATAAGCACATTATTTGTTATTTACCTTTAACACATGAGCAGTTGGTTCAGATCACATAGGAAATTAGTCCATTTTATACAAATTTTTTAGGCTAAAAAAATCTCTAGCCTGTTTTTCTTGGTAGCGTGAGCCTGAACAAATGCCTCCTGCTTTGGTCTAAAGAAAAGGAAAATATCCTCGGGAAAAATGAAGTATTTCTGATCCCCAGAGTTCTGGACACTGTACTAAAGAGCTTTTGAATGTCAGATTTCTGGACTTGTTACTCCAATAAATACTTTTGCATATAAAAAGGAGCAGCTAAGACGTGAAAGGAACTGTTGCAAACTTCAGAGCTCTTTCATGTATTCTTACAGCTCCCAGTAGCTTGCTATGTGTGTTTTCTGTACATTGGTTTGTGGCAGACAAAATGTGGACTACTTATCAAATAATGTTAATACTTTTAAGACCTTTGTTTAAAAATTCTTTAAAACTTCATTAAAATCTTACAATTTCCACTCTCTTCCACATACTCTATAGCCACACTGCGCAGAAACTAACTGCAGAGAAGGCAAGTGGCAGTTAACTATAAACATGGCATTCTAGTAGCTCCATCTGTCTGCTCCAGTGAATTCTTCAAAGTCTGGTGAGACAGAGCAACAAGGAATGGAAACCCGACCCCATTAGGCCACTGACAGTTTTGCCCCTGACATCAACAGATCCAGGACTTCATCCCCTAAATCACGACACAGTTGAAAAAGACATTGGTTGAAAGTTAGCAAAAGACTGGAAGGGCGGCGTTACCTTCCCCAGTGTCTGTTCTGCTAGAGAAAAGGCATCCATGAAAGCCTGGGCGATTACAGACAAACAGCCGTCTATATGTGAAGTCTTCTTAATATCAAAGACAAACTGGGGATTCTTCAGGATGTTCACCCAGAAGCGAAGAGGAAGACTAGACAAAGAAAGGACAAGCATCTTTAAAATTAACCACTCAGGTCGCACAACTGCTTTAAAATGGTAGTTTAATTGCAACTGAACTCATGGAAAGAAGAACATTCCTGAGCTGCTTATTCATGTTAAAAAAGGGACCAGGGAACAAAGGCTACAGAGCAAACATGTCAGTCAGTCAGTCAGTCACCCCTCCATCCTCTAATAATGCTCTCAGCCTGCAGACACTGCTTCCTGAGCGTGAAGTCAGTATGCAGACTCCAAAGTCCTGCAAGCTACGGCGGTTTGTCTGGGTATCCAATCCATACACTACAATTATAGCGATCCACCAAGCCAAACCACATCTCCACCCAGACATGCCAAAATCTTATTCTTCTGATCACAGGTGACCCACTCCATCTTTGCAACTACATTTTTAAATGAGCGCAGGCACTCCTGCGCGTATCGTGTGGGCGTACCTGTTGGTTTTCCATATATGGACCACATCGGGGTCAGTAATTTTTTTGCTCTCAGCCTGGGCATCCAGAAAGTCAAAAAAGTACTTGATGGCAACAGGTGCTTTATTGTTGGGTAAACTCCAAATGCTCCTGAAGAGCTTCTCAACAACTGAATGAATTGCAACCTGAAAAGTAAGAAAATGGACAGTGTTATTATTACCCAAGAAAAGAACAGGATTTCTTGTCTCAGAGAGCTCAGCGTGCCCCACGGCAACCGCACACAGAAACTACCACAGGCCCATGGCAAACTTCTAGGCCACAGGTTATTGGCAAACAAGACAGTGAATAACAAAACTGAAACTACAAATACACCATAATAAGCTGCTTTCAGATGTCACATGTCCTATCACTTTACTGTTACTTTATTTTAAGAGAATTGTGGTGAACTTTGTGATCAGCCGTAGGTGGAAGGAATCACTTGTTGAGTTTCCTGCACAAAGACAGCATCAGCTCTTCGGATACTGTTGGCACCGTTGCTAAAGGTGTTTGGAACTTGTGACTGGAAGTACGAGGGAGGTGAGCAAAAGGAGTTTAACCAGCTTCCTAGGGCACAGGTCTTCATGGTGCCGTCTGAGACACCAGTTGAGCACACATGCTCATCAACACTTCACAGCCAAGTGACTGTGGCACTTGGTCTAATTTCAGGAAAACACCTTTGGGTGGCATACGAAGGCACTAAAGTTAGAGAGAAGAACTGAAAACTGGGTATTTCTGATCCAGAAGTGAAGCTATTTGGCCCACAAAAGCAAGGGCTTGGTTGCTGACGAGCTCACTGTCATCGTGACAGACTATTCATAAGGAGAGGCAAACACAGCAAAACACTAGTTTGTACTTTTTTTCCTTCACATCTGTTCTGAAGCTCAGTTCAGCCCAACCCTCTCTCAACAAGCAGGATTTAAGCGTATCCCAGGGCCTGGATGTGTTACTGGCCCGCTCATTTCACGTGACAAACTCTGCAATTGTGTCTGTGTGCGTGTATGGTGGGGTGGGGGGGAGAGCCATGGTTCAGTGCAATTTCCTTTAGAGCAAGGCGTATCATGGGTGGAATTTCATGGTGAAGGTTATCACAGCTCTGTTACTCAGAGCACTGTCCTGCTCTGGAGAAGGAGATGATGAATTCAAAGCCCTTTAAAAGGAGTGCTTCTTAAGGACCGATCTTCAGTCTTCCACCGTAAGATCTTACTGCTTTACTCCAGCAGTTCCTAAGGGCTTATGTTAGTTTCCACAGCTAATGAGAAGTGACCAGTCTTCACTCTCACTTCGGATAGTGTCCCAGATTACTTCAGATGCTATCAACAATCTAATTAAATAATGATTGACAGATTTTTAAATGCAAGAAGGCCATAACCATCATCCCTTCAGGCCTCTCGTATCGCACAGTTCTCAGTGTTGTGCACTGATTAATATTTTAAGTAATATGCTGTTGCAAAGAGTTTTATAACCCTTTTGAGTAAGTCAGAAACAAGATGACACTACTAGAGGGAGTGAGCAGGGCTTATTCCTAAGGAAGGCGCATTGTATAAATTAGGTAATCCTATTATAAATCCTAAGGATCTTATTTTTAAAATTAATCCAGTTATTTTGGATGCTTAATTTGAGATCCTAAAAGATTACTTCATTTCATGGGCGGTATTTTGTGAAACTCAGGCCTTGGAAGTTGCCTCTAAGCTGGGCAAACTCCAGTACAGAGTGAGGAGGCTGTTGACTAAAAGCTGTCTCTCCAGAAAGGACCATTCTCACTCTATGAGATTCAGCAGCAAAACAAACTTTCTATAAGCTCAGTAACTACTTTTGTAGTTTATTTCTTAGGTTGAAGAAAAAAGGTTGTGCTTACTGAGGAGACAGTGCAAGTAACAGACAAGTTTAGATCTCTAGCATCAGAAAACCTGAAATGTGTCTGTCTTTGCAAATGGTGATAATCCATAGTTAGCACAGTAATTTTTATAGGCTACTTTTTCATTTAATATTTGATACACATGAAGGAAGTCTGCACAATTTCTGCTTTAATTTCTATTTCTGTTGTGCCAAACTAGTCAAGCCTAACATCAGCCCTCCCCCAAAATAAGGCCTTTACAGTTTACCTTGGTTGACAGAAGCTTCGTCAGATACATTTCCTTCACTTTGAATTTTTGCTTTCCTTTGTGACCTGCTCCTTTCACATCTTTGTTTGCTTCACAGTCTGGTAAAATCTGTCGTGAAGAGATCAGAGAGATTACACAGACACAAATGCAGCTCAGTATCAAATCTACCACTTAACAGGGTAATGACTGAACTCACCAAATGACAGTGTTCATCCGAGTAGTCCACATCTAAACAACAGAAAGCAGAGAGCACACAGGCATTAATGAAACACACAGTTGCAAGCTCATGAATTCTGCTGGGCTCTGGGCTGGGCGGCAGGGTGCACGCCAGGATGCCGAGCAAGCAGGCTCAGCGTCATGCCTTCCTGCCTGCAGCATGGGGAAGCCTCTGAGAAATGCACAGGTCCCGGCTCACCTCCCCAGTGCCAGCCTGTGGCTTGGACCACTGTGCTGGGGCATCATCATCTGCTGCTGGGGTAAGCCGGCAGCAAATCACAGCTCCTCTGAAAGGAGGATGACAGATGGCAGAGGGGATGAGTGCTTTGGTTTAGTCTCTGTTAAGAGGACTCAGTGCAGGAGGGCTGAGGTCAGGCTTGAAAGCAATGGCTGAGAACAGACAACCCCATTCTTGCCGAAGGAGAGAGCAATGCCATCCCATCGACTTGCACCTCAGGGACACATCTGTCCTAACTTCAGATGCCCACTCTGATGGTGAGGTGAATCACACACTAGGAATGTCTTTTTCTCACCAGGGGCTACAGAAAGTCCACCTGCCCTGAGACACCAGCTGGTAGGTGAGATGAACTGACCCCCTGAAGCACCCTGTAACTGCTTATCTGCTATTGAGACAGCCAAGTAAAAGCTTTCAGAAACACAGTCAAGAGAATAAGGAAAATTCCAAAACTGCATTTTTTGTCATGCCTGTCTCTGGACCACTATGTCCATGATGCATAACACCAGGCACTGGAGCAGGGCTTGTTCCCTGTGGTTGTCTCACCAGTCAGCACTTGGTGTCACCTGGGCCTCCCTGCCCTGATTGTCTGCCTACGGGTCTGTATCTTTAAGCATCCATTTGCTGAGGACTGTGAGTCCTTCTGTCCTCCTTTCCTTTGCTTTCTTTCCTCCTCCTAGGCCCACTGTGCCTGCCAGAGGCCCAGAGCCACAGTAGCATGCCTCTTCCTTTGGCTCAGATACTTCAAAGTGCCAATTTTTTGGACCTCTTATTGACCAAGATAGAACCTGTCATAGCTCAGCCCTCTGCACTCCCAGCCCATTCTCCAGGGAATATTAAAGACTGCAGTTCTTTGTTACCTGATCGGGTATTTGTCTTCTTTTTAAAGACTTTTATGGTTGCTCCGTTTGAAATCTGAAAGCAAAAAACAAATGTGTCTTGCTGAAACAAAAATGTCTAGAATTCATGAAACTCTCAGTTTCATTTCCTCTGTCCTTAAGCCCGTGGCAGCGCAGGAGCGTGCCAGCCAGCTCTGTTCTCAGCACAGCATGCACCGCTCCCAGAAGGCACAGCCGGGGCTGGCGTTTGGGCACCGGCAGCCGCTGTGGTTTGCAAGCCTTACCTGGCCAGGTGGGAAGGCAGCGCTCCTGACAAGCTGGCCTCTAAGGCCTTTCCCTTTCTTTGATTTTTCTGATTCTGCCCCTACTTGGACATTTTCATGGTCGGCTTTGTGCTGCTTCTTGCACCCATCTTTCTACAGATCACCTGGGCTGAATTATCTGGCTCCAGTAGGATCTTACGGGAAGGTGAGTCAGGGATGTAAACACAGGGGTGATGTCTCTTCTGGTCCCCTTTCTTCCAGCTCAGTCCATTCCAGGAGCCTTCCCCCGCCCCATGCCCTACAGAGGGGCCACAATGAGGGTCTAGCCTGGTGCTCCCAAGAACTATTCCATTCCCAAAGTGAGAAAAATATTTACGCCCCGTGGGCTGTAGGGTCAAGATCCCTATCTAGCCACCTTGGGATTTCTAGGAATGATCTTCCCCTTTCCTTCCCTGAATTTATAGTGCTGCCAGGATAGTAACTATTATCTTTAAAAGAAACCGGCAAGTCATGCTTTTGTTGTCAAAGAGTAACTCAAAAACAGCTCCCACTAAGAACTACACCACTGCTCTGCTGTCAAATGTTGGGTCCTGCCAAGTGCTAGTATACTTCCCTCCATAATTACAAAAACAACTGGCCAGTTCTAGGAAGGGATTTCTGCCAAAATAATTTAAGTGTTTTTTAAACCTTGGCTGCCAGCCTGGTGTGAAAAACCAGTTTAAACATTAAGATACTCTATCAAAAGCTGTGTCTTGCGCCAAAGAAATCTGCACTTACACTTGCTCCTGGAAAGTAAATGCAATCTATTTCATAAGCATGATTTTTCACAGGGTCTCCATTTATCATACAGTGTTTCAGAGCTCTTTCAGATAACACAGAGCACTTTAAAACCACACTAGAAGTGAGAACATGCTCTAAGGCTAGCTTGTGAGGTGACACAAACACCCAGAGAGGAGAGTCCTCCTACTTGGCCCTGAAGATATGTAAACAGGAACAGGGCTACCCAGGAGCTCACCCCCTCCCAGAGCAGCGTGGGCAATAAATACGCTGCCTCCCCTCCCTCTCCAAGAGGCAGGAGAGCAGCTCCACGTTGAAATGTGTCGGCTCCTGTCCTGAGGGAGACGGGCAGAGTTCGGAGGGAGAACCGTGCTTCCTTCCAGGAACCAGAGGCATTGGTGCAGTGCAGCCATGATCCAAGCCCCCACTTCAGGCTTTAATTCTGGGACAAATGATGATTTTAGCATCGAGTGGAGTATGCTTTCTTGTCTTTATCATCACTGCAGCAGCTGTACCTGCTGTCTCTTTCAGTGTGGTCCAATGAAAAAAAAAAAAAGAAGAAAAAAAAGAAGCCCTTCTTTTTGTATCCTGCTGCCTAAATCACTTTTCATGGCAGGCTGCTCGCATGGGTACTTCAAAACATCTTTACTTTGTCAGGTGTGTTACTGAGGGGGACCAACAGTGAGAGGGGAGATCTGTTCAGACCCACACAACATGGAGTACAGCTACTTTGCAAAACAGAAGATGTAGTAGTGTGGCTCTATGCCTCTTCCTTGTTCTCCAGACCTCCTGTCCTCCCTACAGGCCGGTTCTTGCCAGTGAGCTCCCTGTATCACACATTCAGATTAGCTCTCTGGGGCTGTGCCTGCTCCTGGAATGTGCAATGCCGCCACAGGTTGAGAAACTGGAGATTTGTGACTGGACAGCAGATATGAAAGCGGTTCTCTAGCTCTCTTCTTGCGTGGGAAACAGGACACCATGATAATCAGCAACCTTCTTGCCAAGGTTTGTGGTTATTCTCATGGAAACAATAGTGCAGACCTCATAAATAATCACATCGATAACCCTACTAGGAGCGAAAAATTAAGAGCAAAAGGAGCACACGAGTCAGATACACATGAAAGTCTAGTAAGAGTACAGTGGGTTTTTTTTTTCCTTCAGAAACACCACACAAAAATGAAAACATCCCCTCCTTGCACATTTTAAAAATCAGTGTAGAAACTAAGCTTCTTGAAGAGTGGCTGGTGATTCTGAGACCTTTACAACACAACGTCATGCTCCAGTATCTTAAGAAGATTTGACAGAACTTCCTAGTTTCAAAAATCTGGTTACTTGCTAACATTTAAGGCTGGCAAACAAACCAACCAAAAAAAATCCAGGCTTGCCACAAAACTCTAGGCACTATTGAAATGTGAGGTGGAATTCCTCAGACAACGGGACTATCCTTATGCTGTACATGCAACGTTCCCTTTTCTTGCTAACTAGACAACTTCACGTTCCTTTTTGCACTCATACGCATATACGAAAATTAACTAGGTATGCTAATAGCTGATACTTGCCACTAAGCAACTGCCCAAAATCCCACTAAGCTTCTGCCTAAAATGTACATTATTTTGTCAGTGTCAGAAAAAGTAAATTAAAATATCTAACAGAGATACCCAGCACAGTTTCCATAAGGCAGCTGCTAAGCTATAATTAGTGTAGTTACAGCTTTGCAGAAACAACCGAACCTCCAGCCTAACCTGCGTCTGCCTGCAGAAACCACAGATGAAAACAAGGGCTGGGACAAAGATGCCCAGGGACGACAGTGACCGAGTGGAGCAGACTCCTTTGCCATGAGGTACAGCACACGTGAGCCACGACACACCATGCACTCCGGAATTGCAAAAAAAGCTGCCCAGTAAAATCAGGGAGCACTTGCAATAGCTGCCTGCAGTAACGAGGGCGGGTACTATCACACTAGAGAGAAGTTCAAATATCTGATCAGATTCAAATCTACATTGACCTTTGCTGCATACACTCTGACTGCAATGCTACAATGTCCTAATTTGTACAAAATCTTTACAAGTGGAGTGAAGGGAAGTCCCACACTGATCTGTAGACCAGATTCAAGAGAGGCACAGGAAAAGCTGTATTTAAGACGCTGGACGGTGACTCAGGACATCTGTGTTCACCACTGTCTCCCTGGGAGGTAAGGAGAGCAACAAATGCCTACAGCAATCTGTGAAGTGACTCCAAATGAGTTTGCTCTAGTCCTGAGCAGCCTTGTGCTCCCCCAAACAGTCCTGCTAGGAGCCCTCGTTCCTCTCTGTGGATGGCGCTGTACTTGCTCATGCAGACAGCAGCGCGGCTGAGGCTGGCTCAGGTTTCTCAGCACCATACTGCATTGCATGACACAGACTTACAGTCACCAGCAAAACTTCTAAATAAATAAAAATCGATCATCATGTTGAGCCAGACTTTCAAATTCAACGAGGCATGCAGAAAGCTCACTAGAAGCACTCAGCACACTAACCTCATTTCCCAAGTCTATCTGTAAGCATCACAATGCGAGCTACTGTATCACCTGAGGCCAAGCATCTCCTGCACATTTCACCCCAGCCTCTCACCCTCTTTTTTGACGAGTGTCAATGGAAACTCCTTAGACAGGCAACACTGCTCGCTATGCTTTCACAATGTGCTACACCCACAAGGGCTCTGCCACCAGTTGCAGCCTTGTGTGCTGTCACAATGATGGACAGGTTACTGCAGCACTGAAAAGGACTGGTTTACAGGTGCAACTGGAAGTGGAGAGAAAAGCTTACAAAGCTTACAGTACAAGTGGTGACAGTAGATGGAAGCAGAAATAGAGAGAAAGAGGGAAGGAGACTGACACAGAAGGTCTCAAGAGAAGAGCAACCAAACTCATCAGTCCTTTTTATTCTGACTCTGAATGAGCTTTCACAAGTGTCGCTGCTACCTGTTCAGATAATCAAAAGATGAGGTGGGAAGAGGCAAACAATTGCTCATGGTGCAACAAAAACTCAGCAGCAGAGACTAGAAAAGATTCAAGGTAATGTTCACAGCTGGAAATCAGATGCTCTTTTAACTGAAATGCTCAACAGAAGTAACAGTTTACCTGGTATGCTTGAATCAAGCAACCGTGCAAGAAGCAAACCTCTGAAAAGTAACAGAAAACATATGACTCACTGGCAAGAAAGTTGTGTGTCACATTCTTTCTTTCCTTCTGTTGATGATGCTCAGCTATCTCTTCAAGATTTTGATCGAACAGATACTTTTGTGGAGACTGCATTTGGGAGTTGGGGAGAAAATGCTTCTCGATTCATTGGTATGGCTTCCCTGCTTACCTCGTAATGACCAATGGTATTTAGCTTCCTTATCCCATCCTCCATCACTTCTGAGGAACCATCGATATCTAACAATTCTCTTTGCTGCTCCTCAGACACAAGTTCTGCAGTAGGACAGCAATAGAAAACAGTTATATCCCAACAGCATTCTCATTGTACAGATGTTTGTAAAGAAAAACAACACCTAATTATTTTTGGACCAGTGGGTCCCAGCTAAGCCACTTCCCTCTGTCCTTGTGCTAGGACAGACCACTGAACTCTATGAAAATGTAATACAGTGACAATCTTACCAAGACCAATTTCATCCAGCTGAAGACCATAGAGAAAACCATTCTTATTAAGGAAAGCCTGAAGGCTCTTCTCCTTGGCTTGGCCGATGGTGTCGCAGTCCAGAACATTAACTTGGATAGTTTGACAGGCATCTCCACTCTCATTTTCTGGGATTTTTTCAAAGATAATGTTCACTGTCTGGGGAAAGAAACACATACTATTCTTAATTACAGGGAACACCTGGCATGGGAAACCTAGAAACTCCTGACAGCAAACCTGAGAGATTTTCAGCATATTTATTACTAAAGCTCTTTCGAATAAAGATTATTTGAAGGAATTACATAATGAAGCATTTGAAACTCTTCTTGTCTGAAGAACCAAAGATATATGGCTATATATTTCCATGAGTGTATTTTGCATTCTGCTTTTGTCAAATCTATTTCAGTAAATTAACGAAGAAAGACAGGAGACCAGGAAAAATCACAATGCATGTTCTAAAAGAAGCAGATCCTTTATTTAAAATGAATGCCTTAAAAGCAAAACCGTGAGCTACTAGAGATCTGATAAGGTTGCTAAGTTAAGTCGTCATGGTAAGCACGATTGGAGTGGATAGGAAGCAGTGTTAAAATGAATATTTACATTACACCAGCATGCGATTGATTTGGAGTGGATAGGAAGCAGTGTTAAAATGCATATTTACACCAGCCGATCATGCTGAATACCTTCTATCATACAAACAAATACACCTCCGCTGGAGACGTCAGCGTTTGTCTGCATACAGCTGTGTCTCCAGAGGCAGCAGAGACACGGCTACTGCAGAAGCAGTGGAAAGGGAAAGCATGTTGCAGCAGACAGAACCCAGAGCAGTCCAGACCTGCACAGCAAAGTGCGATTTATTCTATTAGTTATTACTCCAGGGCAAAGACCCACGTGACCTGTGCACTTACAACACCCCTACTCTTAGCTGGGACACAACTTATCTGCTGGGCTTCACACAAGGTGAGCATGGGTGAGAGGGAGGTGCCAACGTGACTGGGCAGCCATCTCCAGGGAATGTTCTTAGCCAGGTTGTATTTCTGGTCAGGTCAGGCAGACCAACTGCTTCCAAAAGGAAGGGAAAAGGGATGAGCACAGGGCTGCTAGTGCTGAGTGATAATAGCACTCATGTCCGGTGCCGTAGCCTGCTCCTTGCAGACATCACTGTTTGGCTACATTGATACAGACCTCCTGCTGCAGGTGCCTCAGGACAGGATTAAAAGAAGTGTTTTAGGTGCCAGCACTTGACTGCAAGTGGCATAGGAAAACCTACGTACTCGAACTATTCTGGCTGTTGGACATTTCTGGTATAATACAGATCTTTCGACTGAAATGTGAGCACTGCAGGTGTGACTCAGTGAAGGAGTGACTGTTAAAAGAGGAAACAACTAAAAACTTTTTTTTTCCCTGCTGTCATGTGAAGGAAAGAACTTCCGTCCAGGTTGCTGCAGAGCCAACTTTTCTCTCTTCTTAGAAAAATGCATGGTTATTAATAGTTGTAAAATGCTATTTTCTGCTTTATTACCCAGCAAGAGTGGAAATTACAACACACTAGTGGTGAAAAAAAGCGGTCCAGTGAGACATAAATTAACTTCACTGTTTCTAGAGAAGCAAAAGGAGTATTAAAAACAGAGTTCCAAAACTATGAAGATCAGGATTTAAGTAAGACTAGGACGTACCTGAAGTAACTGAGAATAACTTAATCAGGACACTGAGATGTTTAATTGTGAGGAAAATGAGTCCAGGGAAAGGACAGACGGAACATAAGAGGAGGAAATGTGGGAACAGTGCCCTCAGAAGAAGACGCAGACTGAATGCCATGCCTCAGGCTGGGATTTCACGTGGAAAATTAGTAAAAAATATATTGGCACAGGAATGAGGGAGTCATGCTTGGTTAGGCCCACAGACCAACTGAACAGACAGCAGTCCTGTCCTTGACTTTGATCGCCCTGAGGTCATGGTCTTGTAGCATAAAATGTGGACAGGGACTAACTGTGTTTTGTCTTTGGAAAATACATTTTAATCAAAGTCTTTGTCTCTTCTAGTCTACAAACTGATCTTTCAGGAGCAGCTATTCACACTTTAACTGACGTTGATTTGTCTTTACACCCTTGGAGGCATTCCTTCCCTTAGTTGATCCATTCCTCCTAGCATTATTCCTACACTGCTATATTCATATTCCTACTTCTCTTTCAATTCCTCTTTCTTTCAGACTGTCAAGAGAAACTGTGTTTTTCTCTGCTGCATTTCCTTTTCAGCACATGCTCTCACACAGATTGCACATAAATGTGCAGCCTCTTCAGCTATTAGTCCTCCCATCCCCGCTCAACTCATTGTAGAATGACAGGACTGTAAAAAGAGAGTAGCAGTCCTTTATGTAGGTGGAATACAAGTCATTTATGGACTCCTTAATCGAAAGTATCCACAATGTGAGGATAATAACAATACTTTATGACTCAAAGTAGTAGTAGATGGGAAGAAAAATTTAAACGTATAAAAGTCTCTAAACCAAGAGAGCCAGACAGTTTTGCTGATATGCAGAAGTTAATCTTAAGTGATGAAGCAATTGATGGGGAGCTAGGAAACCCAATTATTATCATGTCTTCACTCCATAGCTGAAGTTTTCATAAATCAGATTCAACCTGTCTGACAGCACAATCCCTGGCTTTAGAAACCATTAATCAGAAGCTGACAGCCACCATCACTGCATTTAGACACAAAGTGTAGAACTGGAAAAAGAATCAGAAATGACTGTAAAATTATGAAAGCCCTTTTATGATCAGCTCTGAAGGTCAGAAAACACTTAAGAGAAATCACAGGACACACTGGAAGTCACGAGGAAACACCATCAGGCGCTCTTCTAAGCTCTCTCACTTTGCAAAGGAAAGAAAAATACAAGTTAACTTAGGGAACGATTCAGGAGGAAATTAGAGGACATGTGGTTCAACCTAGTAATATCTAGAGTTGAGATGTCAGGCACTAGAAATTAGCGGTTAGCAACACAAGGTCAGAGTGCTCTTCAGCAAAGGCTTAACACAGGTTGCAAGAATTGATAAAGGCTACTTAAGGAAAACGAGGCAAGCATCTGCAACTACTTGAATAGGAACTAGCTAGGTACTTAGCTAAAAGACAGGAATAGATTTTAAAAACATATTTTTACTCATGCAGTGACAGTAATAACAACATTTGAAGACAACGTTTACAGATTTTTTTTAATTTGTAGTTTTCTTGAAAATGAATTTCAAACAACGAATTATTTAGTAGCGCTATTAATAACCATAGCAGATAATAAATGAGATGTGATTTAATAAAGAAATGTGATAATACCATATTTTCTTAGAAGTAAAGAAAAATCATCTGAGATATTCAAGGGCTCTTATTCATTACCCTGTTCTCTATTCAGCTATGCATATGAACAAAGCATATTTCCATTTATCAGACAGACTGAAAAAAACAAGAAAAACTTTGGATTGGTAAGAGAATTTATGTAAAGGAGACAGCACCATGACGTACAGCACAACGAAACTGCCTTAAACCTAATTCCCTATCTCCTGGCCTATGAAATACAACAAATAGGAAAAAATCAGACTGATTGTACAATCCTTCTGTAGCAGCCAGAACAGTTACCCATGAAGAGGTTACAGAACAGCTTACAAATCAGCATAGAAAATGTTACAGGAGTTAAATTTAGGCTAGATGGGCACTATGCAAAGTGAGGGTTGTACTCTCGATGCTACAGTATGGTACTCCATCTGTACCTAATTCAGAAGACTCTCCCGTAGCCAACATCTGCACTGCTCATTTCCTAGCAAGGGCTGCTGCATCCTTCTCTGCTGACAAAAACCCCCACGTCACATGCTTTTAACAGCTTCCTGATCCCTCACAAAGCGTGCCTAGTAATACCACAGCCATGGTGTCTTCTTAGGAAGTTGGGTTCCCTGTCTCTGCTTTACTCCCTGACAGCCCTCCCACTTCTCTTAATACCCTTCTTTTAATTCGTAAAGCTGTTCAACACTTTGAGCAACCTTCCACCATGTAGCTTTGCTTCATTTTCAATCACAGAATCATAGAATAATTAAGGTTGGAAAAGACCTCTAAGATGAAGTCCAACTGTCAACCCAACACCACCATGCCGGCTACACCATATCCCAAAGTGTCATATCTACATGTCTTTCCCCCGGGTGATGGTCCCTCACCCCCCCCCGTGGCCAGCCTGTTCCAATGTCTGACCACTCTTTCAGCAAAGAAATTTTTCCTAATACCTAATCTAAACCTCCCCTGATGCAGCTTGAGGCCATTGCCTCTCATTCTATGGCTAGTTACTTGGGAGAAGAGACCAACACCTGCCTCACTACAACCTCCTTTCAGGCAGTTGTAGAGAGCAATAAGGTCCCCCCTCAGCCTCCTCTTCTCCAGACTAAACAGCCCCAGCTCCCTCAGCCACTCCTCATAAGACTTGTTCTCCAGACCCCTCACCAGCCTCACTGCCCTTCTGTGGGCACGCACCAGCAACTCAATGTCCCTCGTGTAGTGAGGGGCCCAAAACTGAACACAGCATTTGAGGTGCCGCCTCACCAGTGCCAAGTACAGGGGCACGATCACCTCCCTACTCCTGCTGGCCAAACTATTCCTGATACAAGGCTGTTGGCTGAACAGGTGAATTAGATCATTTCTTCCCATCTGAAAGTGTAAACTCATTTCAGCAAAGAATGCAACAGCCCAAATCCCCTTTTTAAAATAAGCAGCGACTATTCAAAAGAATGCTGGAGCACTAAGTTTACCACACGAAGAAATGTCCCCTGGTTTTCCACAGGAGAGTTTTCACGGAGAACTTCCGTCATGCCAGCCTGGCATTGAATAGCTTTTCTGTTTAAAATAAAACACTGCAGTTTGCAGTGAAATGCTAACACCCAGCTGTGGACCGTGCCTCTTCATCAGTCCTTGAGGAAATTATCCACAAAGGGGTGCAGCTGCTTGTCTGCCTGTGAGAAAGCAGGCTTGCTTCCTCAGCCTGTGAAAAGGCTCCAGGACACATCCGAGTCTCTTTCAAAGCAGTTTTATTTCTCAGTACTCAAATATAAGCACGGCGTGAAACCACACAGCTCCTCAGCTTATACTGGATTAGTGCTTTTAGAGGCATCTGTCCTTCAGTTCCTCTGCTTTGAGTATGTATTTCAGCAGTCCATTTCTGTTCAGTATCTGACCCCTTCCAGCAGAGAGAGGTAACAGTAGGGGGTTGGCTGGTCCCACGGTCTGTGGCCTTTTTAAAAAAGGCATGGGGCCCAGCCAAAGGACAATTCTAATACCGTTCAAAACCACATGTTTTTTAGTTCACTTTTTTTCCTATTACAAATGGCCTGAATTTCAGAAAATCTCTCCCATCCTTCCTTCTTTCTCTATACCCAGTGCTTCTTCCTTCTCCTGCCCCAACAGTTTATCTGCATAGTGGTGTGTTTAGGAGAAGACCTGTGGAGCTGCCCCTGATTTTTAGGAGCCTGTCTATATCCCACTTCTATTGGTTTGGAACTGAAATACCAGTCCTGAAAGGAGAGATTTGCATGCCCTACACCCTTGCATGTACTCTGTCACTGATTTGAGAGTCAAACTCCCTACCAGACGCATCCCTGTGTCTTCAAGTGTTTACAATGCTTAAAAATCTGGACACTGAGTGTTTGCAGATGTGCTTCAGTATCTTTCTACTGAAAAGATACTTTTTTGGCTATGTTTTTATACTTTGCTCTGGACAGATAGGCTTTAACGTACTGCCATTGTGGGGCTATGGAAAGGGGCAAAATAAAATACCAACAAAATACTGCAAGACTCATAATGTAACATGCACATGCATTTGAAAACAGCTCAGAATTTTTTCCATTTAGAAAACAAAATCTGCAATCCTTTAGGTAGAAATTTTCTTCCAAAGAAAGGAGAAAAAAGGTTCCCTGTCTGTTCGCTCACAGGTCCTCCATGTCATTGCAGTGCATGTGAAGTGGTGTTGGCGAGAGAAGAAAAACTGACTCGTTCACTTTAGCGTCCTGTTAAATGCTATTCTTGAAGAGAAAACGTGCACAGCTGGCCTGCTTCCCCAGCCCAGAAAGCCTCACTCTTCCACCTAAATCTCTTTCACAACAGTTTTAGTTTCCAGCGTCGGTCTTAGACCAGACACCAAACAAAACTTTCCCTGTCCAGCTGGAACTAGAGTCCTTGGGCTCCATCTCTGTAATGTTACTGGAGGATCCCCTCTCCTGACGGTTTTAAAGGGAACATTCAGCCACCTCTCAACCAAGTCCAATAAACTGCTGGACCTCACCAGGGAAAGGAGACTTACTAACCCTGTAACAGTATCATTATCTCTTATTTAAAAGCAGGAATACAAAGTCAGCAAACAATGTTCGAGAAAGGCTATCTGCTCTCTCGCTTCCTCATCCACCCGCAGTCAGCCTTCCCCACTGATACCGAGTCCTTCAGACCACTTCCCCTCTCTCCCCTTCACTGCAGGCTGCCCACAAGACCCTATCAGCAACTGCATGCACAGAAGTAGCACTAAGAAAAGTATTTCAGGCAGTGTGCAGCAGTTTCAGAGCCAGCTATCCCATCAAGGTGCTCTCAATTTGAATTTGGGTTATAAATTAGAAAAGTCAACCAATTCCACAGGACCAGATGTTCCTGTGTGGTCTACTAGTAACAGGCATACTGAGCTTGCTTGAAAATTGTTGCTGTGCGTAACTACTGGGTTTTGTATCCTATGTATATATATATAGCAATATACTTAAACTTACCCAGGATCCCAAATGCATGCCAGAAAGCAGCGCACAAACAAGGAAACCAAAGATACGGTATTATGCGTTTACTTTTCAGTCACAAACTTCCTTTCCAAATGCACACTGTGGTAACTTAGCTTGAAGTACCTTCAAATGAAGCTTCCAACAACAGCTTTGTAAATAACTATAAAAGGATTCGACTACAAATTTTTCAGTCCAAGAGCTTTCAGCTGAAAATCACAATTCAGAAATGTTTCACAGGTTGTCATTTCGGCGAGCTTCCTACATGACCCAGTAAGCTAAGTCCAACGGACTGCTGACCAGCCAAAATTTCAGGGTCATGTAGTCTACTCCAGTATGTGGCATCTTAGGACCTCCAGGTTCCTGCTGCAAAAATGGGAGACGGGCAGACCTGGAAGCTCCAGCCCTACCCGAGACTCAGGATACGGGCTCTGAAAAGGCCTGAATTCTCCTCCACAGCCATCCTGCAGTGTCCCTGCCATGGCAGCTGCTGCCCTGGCAGCTTCTGTTCCCAAGCTCGGAAGCCCACTATTCAGCCACACTTCTCATACTCCTGTCTGGTTGGTGACTCTGACAGGAAGCCAGGAGTTAAGATGCAGGGAAGCTATGGAGATGACTAGAAATGCAGATTTTTAAGCTCTCAGACTCCAAACCATTTGGAAATTCTGGGAAAAAAGTGCCCTGGTTATTCTGAAAACCTTTGCTGTCCCTTCTCCCCTCAGTGTCAGAATGACAATCAGTAAGGGAATTCCTGCTTTCAAAGAAAGCAACTGGGTGTAACTGTAAAATAGGAAGCACTTCATAGTTGCTTTGAGAAAGGCAAGAAATCTATTGTAAAGTCCAGAAACTTAGCTAGGCTTCCCAAATACCTTGTTTCTAACCAGGAAACTAATTAAAACCCACCACACTGTAACCTTGCTAATTTGGAGCTAATAACGTGGAAACCCACAGCAAATTATTGCTGCCTGAATATTAGCCACAAGCAAACACAATAGAAAAATAAAACCTCTGCATTCCATTCTTTCATTCATTGGAAAAGTGTAATTTAGTTTAAATTCTAAGCATATGTTTATATTTTTGTAGGACGCTTTAAAATAAGAAGCAATTTTAATACCACGAGACTTCATTAAACCTAACCTTTGGTGATTTAGGCATGCTGTGAAGCGAGGAGTGAATGCTATTTGTGAAATGTATATTGGTGAAATACCAGCTAGTTAAACTCTACTGTGTTTTGAAACTTCGTCAGCAATAACAGTTTTATTACCTGGGTACTTAACCATCACCTTAGTGTCTAAGAGCCTTAATTTAGCTACCTAGGAAAAGAGAAAACGTTATAGTTGTCTGTGTTTGGAGGGAATACAAACTGGCAAACGTACCACTGTTTTGAATTCAGACACTTGCCACAGCAGCCAGTCTTCGTTAAGCGTGTACAGGGCTTTGCAAGTTATCGCGTCAACAGGTCCTTTGTTTATCCTCTGATTGAGGGTTGTCACTAGCAAATAGAAAGGTTCACCAATTGTCTCCTAGGACATGAAACAAACACAAGGAACATGTTTATTTTTGTAATCGTTAAATGGGCACGAATAGAAAAACATCAAGTGTAACAAATTCAGCTATTTCCTTTTAACTAACTTGGTATCTTGCAATTAGAAAAGAAAATCCCTCTGAGCAGATTTATCTAGTTATTTGTTTAACCTCCACCCTTTGCATTCTGGTGTGAAAGTCTCATGCAAATAGCAAGGGACAGCTGGAGTGTGTGGCAAGATAGCTCACAGCCCCTTGCTGTGCACAAGCATGCTACAGACAAGCTGCTCCTACTCCACCTGGCAGACGCTTCCCAGTTCCACCAAAGAGAGGGTGGGGTGTCTGAGATGTGCATGTGTTCACGCGCACACTTCAGCTATTTCTTCCTTTTTCAGTCTTGTGAGAAAACAAGCTAACAACTAGCTTCCTTCTGAATTGGCACCTCCCCTTGTTGTCTCTGAAAAAAAGCTTTGGGAGCACGGTGGTGGGACACACACTGGTGCATCAGCAAAAGCGGGAATGAAACTGGAGCTTCCCTCTCCTGCCTGAAACCCAGGCTTCAGGAAAGCACCTGGGAACGGAAAGATGGGTCTTTTGTTTCCACGTGACATCATTCCTGCAGCCTGGCTATGGCATCTCACTAGCACAGCTCCATAAAGACGACTGGTGTATGGAGAACAGATCTCTGACAGTTCCCTGGCTCTCTCCTGGGCTTTCAGGAAACCAGTGTGAGTTGCTGAGCCTCACACGATTCTGCTGCTGCATTAATGCAAGGACTGATAGGAATGATACCAACAGTGTGATACCATCATGTGGGTAAGAGGCAGGAAGCATAACCAAGCACTGAAACCAAGAACGAAGTGCTACCAAGCAGGTAAAATAAACAAACGGTGAAGGGACAGAAAACGCTTATTTTGTTTCCACTTGAGGACATTTAGTTCTTGAAACCTGAAATGCTGTTCAGAGGTTAAAAAGTTTGGAAAGAAGTTTAGTTTTCCAAAAGACGGTATTCTTTAAATCTCCATTACGTGGTAGGTTCCCAACAGCTTGCGTAGAAAGCTACAGCTGCATTTTAACAAGTGTGCCAGGCTTTTAGTATGATCATAACACATCTCTAATGTCTGACATGAGGAAAGGATATGCTAGAATTACAAAATTACCCAAATCTCAGCCAAACCAATGACACGACCATTGCTTACAGACACCTACTTCTCCTACATCCTATTGATGAATCTAGCTAAGTCACCTAAGCTAGAAGAGCACACATTAATAATGTTAAATGTTAGACTGAATGCCTTAAACCGACCGCCCTGACAATTCCTATGGAAAAAATCAGTTAAAAAAATTCTTCGTGTATCTTTCGTAGTGAAAAGATGTACACATACCCGGAGAAATCCGGAAAGGCAGACAGACATCCAGTTTGTCAGCAATTTTTCTACCACAGATTCAGTTCGTCTGAGCAGAAGCTTAGGCTGTACATTGCTCGATTGCTCCATCAAGTCCTTTGTCAACACTTCCAAAATATGGGTTAGATAAACTAGCTTAGTTTGTAGTGCAATTGTCAAGAAGGATGCAAACAAGCACCTGTTAAAAAAAACAAAACAGAAAAAAAAAGAATGCTATAATATTTCAAATTTCTCTTTCCAGTCATCTTTAACAAATGAAACACAATTGTGCAGTTCATATCCTATGTTTTCCCTCCTCAGGCACAGAAACTGTCCACTGATCTCTACAAAAATATAAAAAATGCAAGTGCATCTGCTCTTGTGATTATTTTTTAAACACAGAATTTGTGTCTCTAAATTTAATTCTGCAGAACAACACCTGCTTCAGTGACAGAACATTTCTAAACTGCAGAGCTGTTGATCTAACTGCAGTAAGTGTTTACAGTTTTAAAGTGAGTTTTCCTGCTCCTTTGCCTCTTTGTTTATATGTACAAACATTCTGATTCCTCTTTACTGGCCTCCTTTAATCTCAATGCTTTTTCTTCCTCAGTGTGTGCAGACGGAGAAGATGGAGAAATACTCTAGAGTAATGCAAGCTTGTTTCGCAAGAAGTAGAAATTACATTTGTGTGCTACAATCCATGTTGGTTTTTCCTGCTAATTCTTTGTCTTGAAGATGATAAGCATAATCATACTATACCTGTCTTTCACAGAGAAATTTTTCTGCTTTTCAAGGGTGTGAATGAGAGTAACAAGAAAGTTCTTGTTACAAATTAAAGCATGCAACATGTTGAAGCTTTCATCCTTGCTCGTTTGGTCTCTGCTCTGGAATAGTTAAACAAAAATAAGCAAACTGTAGTTTGGCTATGATGGATTCTTCATGCTCAGAAAAATGGTAAGCAACATATGGGATAGGATCCTGGCCTCATTCAAATCAGTGGGAATACTGCATTTATCTCACGGGTCTCAGGATTTTACCGACGATGCATTTGCGTTTGTGTACAACACAGAGTACACAGATGCAGAACATACATTTTCTGTCATATACACAAATTAATGCCAATAGTTAAGTTTGCCTGTCATTTCCCATGACTAGATTCTGTTTATTTTATTTAAATAAGTCATAATATACATTGGGTAACAGCATCTTACATACCAAATTCTTTTAATGTATAAATCCATGTAAACCTCCTCATGGGAGAAAGGGAACACACTGAAAATGCAATATCTGATGTGTTCTAGGACAACACTGAGACAAGGGATACAATCACTCTTGAAAAAATATTTATTAATTAAAGCATATCACACTACATTAACTTACCTGTGGCATGTCTTCACTGAAGATAGATGCAAAGCCTCCTGACTAAAATATAAGACAGGTGATATTTATCATTCTTATATATACCAAAAGTTTCTAACACATGTATGTTAAACATGCCAAGCATGTTCCTGATGGCATGTAACTTGAAATAAAACAATGGAAATGCTGGCTTCTAGTGCGGCTACAGTATAAAAACTCTACACAATATGTTCTGCAAAGGTGTTGCCAAAGTTCACTGAACAGCAAACTCTCAAAGATGACCTGGTATTGACTTCAGTGTTACTGTGTGTGCTACTCTGTGCTGTGGCATTGCACTAGCACAGCAGTCAACGAACAATCCGCAGGAAAAGCTGTTTATTACCCTCATCTGCAAATGTGCTGGTGTGCAAGGGGTGCTGCAGGCTGCAGCCTTCTTGGGTGGCAATGATAGCCTTTGGTATACCGGGTTTCTGTAACAGAGCGATACTTGAGTTCATCTGCCTCCATTCATCTCAAGGCACTTTCTGAATGCTCACTAATGAACTCTCCAGGAGGTCCATGCTGCCAGGCTGCAGAGAGGCACAGGTGCCACTACACACCCATTCCTAGCAAAAGCTATCACAACGCAGGGAAGCGCCCAGTTCTCAAACGCCTTGTCAACGTCTCTTGTCTGACTCTTACAGCCTGTAAGATCCCAATACAGCTGCATGTTCCCAAAGCACCACCCTTGAGCAACAAATTCACACTACTAACATCTACTGTCGTCTGCTTTATCTGTGATGCTGGCAGCCCCTAGTTTCCTTATAGAATCACAGAATGGTTTGGGTTGGAAGGCTGGGCAGGGACACCTTCCACTAGACCAGGTTGCTCAAAGCCCCATCCAACCTGGCCCTGAACACTTCCAGGGAGGGGGCAGCCACAGCTTCTCTGGACTTCTTCCAGGGCTCCATCATCCTCATACTAAAGAATTTCTTCCTTATGTTCAATCTAGATCTATCCTCTTGCAGTTTGAAACCATTGCCCCTCATGCTGTCACTACAGGCCCTGATAAAAAGTCTCTCTTCATCTTTTTTTACAAACCTCCTTTATAGTGAAAGGCTGCAAATAAGGTTTGACCGGAGCCTTCTCTTCTCCAGGCTGAACAGCCCCAACTCTCTCAGCCTTTCCTCACAGGAGAGGTGTTCCAGCCCTCAGATCATTTTTGTGGCCCTCCTCTGGACCCGCTCCAATAGGTCGATGTCCGTCCTGTGCTTAGGGCTCCAGAGCTGGACGCAGGACTCCAGGTGGGGTCTCACCAGAGCAGAGGGGCAGAATCACCTCCCTTGACCTGCTGGCCACGCTTCATTTTATGCAGCCCAAGGTACAGCTGGCCTGCTGGGCTGCGAGTTCACATTGCCAGCTCACATCTAATTTTTCACCTACATATCTGATTTTTCATCCCTCCCTTTCCTCATGCCTCCTGTTCTCTTCTCCCCTACCACACTCTTCTTCCTCTTCCTCCACTGGCTATTCCCATTTTTCCAGAACTTCTTCAGCACCCCTAACACCACCTATCAATAAAACACACATACAGAGTGAAACAACCAGAACCACATTAATGGTTAAAAATGCTTGTGACCAGGGAGCCCTCAGCATGGTAACATTAAACCAAACAATGTGGGAAATTGGGGGAAAACAGAAATAATAACCCAAATTTAACAAGTAAAGCAAAAATCAGGCTGAACATAAGGAATATTTTAAGAACAGATGTAATATCCATTTAACACCTACAAACATTAAGCACAAAACAAAAGCTATCAAGCCAGATTGAATATAGAAAATTGAAGCAGCGGGAACCGAGAAGCTCAAAATTAAGATGGGGTCCATCAGTCTTAATTTTAGGTATGTGACTCCCTCTGTAAGCAACTTGTCCCATCCTGAAACAGATGTCTCAAGCAAGTGGAATGAATCACTTTCTTGAGCTGCCTGTCTCTGCACTGACTACAGAAGATGCTCAGCGAACAGCTCTGATGTCTGTGTTTAAACATCTTAGATTAGATGAGACAAAGCCCACTGAACACACTGGAAGGCAGCAAGAGTACAACACGGACATCACTCAAACACATGAGGTTAGTAAGGGAAGTGGTGGCTTGTCACTTCGACCCTTTTGTCAATTCTTCTGACACTTGGTTGCAATCTACTACCCCATTGCCTTTTCTCTTCATCTGTAGATGTTTGTTTAGTAGAGCACTGCTCTCCTACTACATTCATAGCACACAAGGCATGTTTGGACACTCTCGCAATGTAAACGATAAGTACTTAGCAGGAAAAATTGGTATACAATAAGTTGAATAACTTGCCTGACACTGCATGTCTCTAGAGAGCTAATAGTGGCAAGTTTACCTTCATGGTATCAGTATTTCAAACTGAGACAAAATCTAACTGGAATCATTTCCAGTATGCGCAGTGGCACGAGACTAACCAAGGTAAAACAGGAGCCCTTCCCTTCCTGACCATACATAATGCACCGGAGTGGCAGACTTTGTGCCTTTTTTTCTTTCATTTTTATTTGCATAAATCAAAGCATTTCCACCCAGACAGCTTCTACAGATTGTTACTGTTTTGACAGGGGGCTATCACTAGGAAAAGATATATCCCCAAAAATAAAACCACTATTATAATGCTAATATGACTCGCAACAAAACAAACTGAAAGGAAAGAGATGCAGAAAGTAAGGTTTCCTTCGTCCACTTTCTTCAAACCTCCTAGTGACCCCGTACAAATTAGCCTGGGGGCATCACAGCAGTACCAGAAAAGTTTCCTTTGGTGTGAGAACTGGACTCAAAGCATACAAAGATTATGCACACGTGATTGTTAAATATTATTCAGCCTTAGTATCTGGTATTTGGTGTTGCACAAAAAAAAGCCCTGATTCTGCACTATCACATGTGTTTATCACAACGAACTTTTAGTGGGGTCACACACGGCCATAAAGTGCAGCAGTGTACAGATACAACTGCAGGACTGGGCCGCAGCAGTGATGAGTAACACATGAAGACCAGCAGATAATTTGCATACATACCAGCTATACCATAAAACACCACAGCACTAACCAAGGGTTTCTACTCACTGGTGTCACTTGCACAGCAAAATATCACCAGCTGACAGCACAGCTTCTGCCAATTAGTAAATGCCGGTAAGCACTGGTTAACATCATGATAGAATTTTGAAAGCTGTGACAAATGTACTTATCAGCATCGTAATGTGCCACAGACGCAAAAAAAAATAGCAAGAGAAGTAAAACATTCAAGAGAAGACCTCTTCGGTCCTCTGATGCAGTGGCACAAACTGCTCCAAAGAACAGTGAGAATATCCACCTCTACACCAGACAGCACTTAAGTACTAGGTAAATTTTAAGTATTTGACTTGCACTCCTTCAATCAAGGCCTTACCATTTCTGTCAGCAGCTTGGAGTAGAAAGTCAGCCATGACCTTAGAGCCCTTTCTTCATCCCACAAGTCTAATTAGGAAGTGTCATGATGTTAGCTAGCATGTTAGCTAGCCTGACTGTTACTCTAATTAGCTATAGCATGGAAAGTGAAAGCATGAGAACAAAAAAAGCAATGGATAAATCATAGCCTAGTTAGGATGACCTGAAAAGCAAGCAGCTTAGTGAGGCTGGGCAAAAAAGAAATGGATGCATACACAACCCTTGAAAATTTAACAACGGTGCTTTATCTACAGCATTTAGGCTTGGTAAAATATAGAGATGTACAGACTTAAGTGTTCTTTGGTAACTCGATTTAAGAAAAGTTTCTTGTGAAAACAATGTGCAACGACTGTGTAGTATTTACCTGTAGTATTTACTTTAGTTATTTGATCCTGACTTTCCTAGCTTTTTCATTATTAGGCAGGGCTGACATCTTAAAGACTTGTAAATATTTACCTCTGGAAAGAAAGTTCTAAGAGCAAAGTGTTTGTAGTCAAGGAAGGGAACGGTTCCAAAACTATCCACCACGTCTAACTCATCCATCTGCAGCTCAGCAAATCCTGAAAAAGCACCCCCCCTCCCCACCCAGAGAGTTAGTTTAAATGACACAAAATTGTCTTCACAATTACAACTTGTCCCTATTAGATGTTCCTCAAAAAACAGTTTTCAGGGAAGAGTGGTTGTTTTTCTAGCTGAAGTTCTTCTGAGCGGGAAAGTACCAATGCTTTTTTTCCCCCCATTTTTGTAGAAGGAAATATTACATGCAATCCTATTAGCTCAGTGCTATCTGCTGCTGCAGTGCACACCACCATTAAAGCAGAACTCTGATACAACACAAAAATCTTTTAACAGCTATAAAATTTAAACGTTTATATAATGTGAGCTTCTTGACAGTTTCAGTTCAGAAATAATGCTGTACTTAAGCTCTATAAAGCTCTTTAGAACCTACCCTCGCGTATTTCCTTCCGAATCTCATATTCCAGCAGTTCAAGTTGCTGACTCTGTTTACGAGTTAACTCTTTGGATTTGTATCTAGTAACTATGAATGCCGCTAAAAAAGGAAGAAATAAAAGGTTCTGAGTATAGAAATTGCACAACAGATAACCCTTATACAAGACATATTATAATATTATTTTAAGAAACAGAAAGATTAATCTACACTTGCAGCCTCCAGGAGGATTACTGTTTCTACTGTTGTCAGTGTGCTAGTACCCACAAGCCCTAGTTATCTGGATCTAAACCTCAATGTTTAATAAAAGACATTCCTTTTAACAAGGTCTTAGAATTGTCAATCCAACTTTATTTGAAAGTAGAACACACCCTGCTACGCACAAGCTGCACAGTGAGACACAGAATCTAACAACCCCTTCTACTATTAGCAACCTACTTAAAGTAGCACTGATTAGAAAAACAGTTGTTTTGAACAGGAAATCCACTTGCAAATTGTTAACTTCTCTGAAGCTTATTTTGAGAGAGTAAAGGCATGAGTTCTGGTTCCTGTAAAGGTAATGCACTTTTAAAAACATAAACCAAAACAAACAAAAGAACAGGCCTCTAAACTTATTACAATAAATGGAAATTTATCAAACATATAACCAGGTCAAAACATTCAGAAAAAAAGGAGTGACATAAAGAGGAAAGGATAACTATTTACCCACCCTCAATTTAGTATTGACCAACAAATTCATGAATGATCTGAATCAGACTGAGCGGAAACACCACAAACACTGCCTGAGGATAAGGAGTTTGTTAGGGAACATCTGTCCCAGGGATGGGAGGGGAGCCCAGCTGTGCCAGCTGGAAGGGTCCAAGTTGTGACACAAGGACGTCAGCCCTATGGCTTTGTCTCACTAAATGGTGGTGAGTAATCACAGCAGAACAGCCAAAACTACTGTCCTGTAACATGCTGTAGTCTGACAAGATGGGACTTCACCACCAGACCACAGCTAACTTTGTCCACTCTTATTGGGAACAGGCGAAAACCACCGGACTGTTTGTGACAGTCCCAGACATGTATGTGTGTATGTAGATGTTTTTATGTGTCATGATTACACCCTCCAGCAAATCAAAAACTGAAAACACATTATTGTACTTACCTATAATGACACCCACTACAATAGGTAGCAGAATAAGAACGTATAAATATATGTGTGATGATGTTGGTTTGACTTCATGCTCAAAATTTCCTAATTTGACCTGAAGAAAAATAATGGCTGTGTTAACAGAGGACAGGTATTCTATCAGTGCTTAAAATTACATTTACTGTATATAAAAAAATGTGTATTTAAGGCATATGAAGGACTCCAGTTCTGCAGATTACTGGGAAGACAGCAGCAATTCAGGAAAACATACATGAACCAACACAAACTTAACTTCTACTGTATTTAATGTTTAAGCAGGGTAACAGAGGCAAGAGAAAAAATTCGAGGTCCTCATGCAGCATCAAGTTTTGCCATTGCTGTCGCTGCAAATGAGAGCCCTTGAATGGTAAGATCCAGCTGGTCAGGTGGCTCGTGCACTTCAGAATTGCTGCTAAACTTTCTGGCCTTTTGAAGCGAGGAAGGCACATGTTGACAATTAAAAACACTCCTTTGCACTCCCAGTGTAACTCTACTGAACAGAACAGTCAGATGAGACTCACGCTAATAATGCGGGAAGTAAAATTTTTGATAGATGCCTGGCCCACAGCCCCCTTCCCTATTTCTTTGCAGAAGTTTCAACCTCTTTATGTAGGATGTAGGGCACTCCTGAAAGTCCGCTTAAGAACAAATACAACAAATACAACATACAATACATGTACAACATCCCCCAGCAGCAACAGGGCTTGTCAGAGGTGGGACAGGCAATCAATCTTTAGGAATACATGAAAGTGCTGAAGTCTGCCAGATGCCAAACTGAGGCATTCACCACTGATAATTATGGCAGAAGAAATTTCACAAAGGAGGATCTCAAAGATGACTGTGAAAGCACATAAATAAAGGGTAGCTAAGACTATAAGCAGACTAGCAGTAAAAATACACTTTGACACAGAAAAAGAATACCACCAAGTGCCAGGGATAGCAATGATCCTGAGATAATTGAAAAGGAGAGCTGGGCTGAAATTATTTTGGGTTACAGCAGGGAAGGCAGAGATCTATTCATTTCAGTCACTGGTTTGTCACAGGAGGTGAGCAGCCAGGGCAGCTGGACACTGCCAACCGGATAGTCACATTGCAGCTACAGGGAGATGAGCAAGCAAAGAAGCCCCACAGAGCTGGAAGGATATAGCCTTTGTATTTCTAGGGCTACAAAGAACAGACGACAAAGCAGACCTATTTCCTCCATCAGATGTATTTTTTCCTCGGTTGTTTACGTGTTTTCACACTTTCTATACAAAGTGCTCTGGAGCCCTCCTAGGATCCCATTTGCCTTTTCTCAGGCTGAAATGCGCTGGTGGCTAAATATGTTAATCATCCCATGACTAATACACCTGACTTTCTCCACTTGTCATGTCCAACCAAAGCATTCCTAAAGTAGAAATTCCTGTTACTCACCCTGGCTTACTGAAAACTGAGGCAAAGCATTCATTTAATTTTCCTTTCATACTTAGATTATCTTTAATCTTCACCATAACCTTCCTACTCAGTGGCCCCATTTCTTTCCTTATCTTTTATTTATCTTGCTTATGAATTAGGACTAAGTAAGGTACACCTGAATTCATCTGAATCCTATTCCTAAATTCATTTCATTCTTCCTGCATGACTTTATAAAACCTCCTCTGGACTGGTAATTCCTCTGAGCTTTCTGTCATCGCAAATGTTATTAGTGCATGCCTTATCTTTGTACTCAAGTCACTAGCAATATTAAATAATATCTGCACGAAAATCAGCATTGCCCAGAGTCAGCTCCCCATACACAGCATCCAGTTTTTCACCCTAGCGTCTTCATAATCACCATGTTAAGTAGTTTACTGAATGACTTCCAGGTACATGTGATCTACTGCTTTTTTGTTGTTGAGGAAATCACTCGTCTTACCGAATAAAGGTATCTAGCATAATATGCTTTTATTAAAAAGAAGTTCACAATTATCCTATTTTCTATTTACCTCCAGGTCTCTCACGAGTTTCTCATTCAAAATACATTATAAAGCTTTACACAGAGCTAGGATTAAATCAGCAAGCCTCTATTTGCCTAGTTTTGTTTTATTTTTTTTCTTTTAAATACGGGTTTTATATTTGCTGCTCTCCAGTCATACAGTACCTCTCCTGACTCTACAGTTTAACTTAAAATCTTTCCTACTAAGCCTACAATATCACATGCCGGTTCTTTCTCAGTGCTGTGATGGGAATGATCTTGTTCCAGCTGTCTTGATCCCCCATCATCTATCTGAATCCTGCTTCTGTCACAAGAACGGCATTTTCTTCTTTGACACCTCCATTCAGACTGACCATCCTGTCTTTGACCCCACACTCAATATCCTCTTTCCTCCTGAAAACTAAAGCAAGAGATACCTTTATTCCTGGGCCATACCTATCTTTTATACCCAGCCTATCCTTTCTTCAGAGTGACCCTACTTCTTCTGTGATGAAAGACTGAAAAAACACGTGATGAGTTCCTACTTTTACATTTCTCTTGATGTTGGAAAAAAGAATTGTTAAGGTACCAGAAGTGAAATGTTACACTACAACTATTGCATTTGATTCGCCTTAGCGAAGTGGTGACCTTTCTATAACAGTCAGTCCTACGAAGCTTGCAGGATGAGCACGATACTGCAAGGCAATGTTAATATTTAAATGCAACACCAATCTCAGAAAGGCTTTTCCATGCCATAACTGGCTCAGACGGCAGGATCCACAGATGGGGTATCAGTTAACAGTGATACAAAATTGAGAATAGCTTCGTTAATCTTTACTATGAGCCATATGCCTTGAAGTCAATAGAGTTATTTCTGTTTTATACCACCATACACTGCAATAAGAGTCTGGCATCCTTTTTCTCCCTCATAAATGGTGATGATTGCTTTTTTAAAAATTCATATTTTCCATCTTATTCATGGAGCAAATGTCTTGAGTTGCCATTTAGCTTTGACATCCGTGCTAATGTTCTTGTATTTGGGGTTGGCTTTGTGCCACATGTTCACAGCATTTTGGCCTCCCCAGTGCAAGCTGAATTTTACCCCCTTTTTCATTCAGAAATGCCTTCTCTTCTGCCTTATTGGTGATCACTATGCACTGTTAGAGATCCTTATCTACATTAGTGGGAAAAAGAGAATGGGAGGACACAATCCTTTTCCTCATGGCCACGCCGCAGCAGCAGATTGCTTACAGATCTAAGATGAGGGGCTCTCCTGGAGATGATGCTTTATTGGTGATGTCTGTGCTGCAGGCAGAGGTCTGACAAGCTACTGCTCTCCTGGAGCTTAGCAGCAGTGAGCTCAGCTTGGACTGCAAAGCCTACCTCTGACACCACAGCAGTAAGCAGAGCATAAATGAACTCCATACCGTTACTGGTACCCAAGCTAGGCAGGCAGGCCTAGTTGTGAGGAAGATAACGGGACTACCAAATACAAGGAGAACAAAATATGCATCTAGTTCCTCCCTCCGTAAAGAGTATTCATGACCAGAGCATTAATGCTACACTTTACTACATTTGCATAAATATCCAATCATTGATAAATTGCAACAAAAGGGAATTCTACTTACAAAAACTTTCACTGTGGAAAAGTCAATCTTGTCTGTTCCTTCCCTTTTGAATTTGCACAGTATGGTGCTACGGTCTGGTTTTTTGGTAATATTTTGGACGCTGAACCATATCTTTTTGGTCTGTGCACCATTCATATATAACAGATAAACCTCTACCTCAGTTTTAGAAATATTCAAGTTGTCATTTTCTTTCTAGAGGGAAAAAAATGAAGATAAGAAACATTGACTAAGTACAGTAAGAAGTAAAATAATCCCCAATGACTATTTTAAATAAGGAATTATAGTTTATTACTTTCAAACTTACATATATTTTTAATTCCAGATCAGGATCCAGCTCAGTGTGCAGCTGGTAGTTAATGAACACCGGGTCAGGGTGATAGTGTAATTTGACACATGGTATAAAGGTAGTTTCCACTTTTAACATCATATCAACAACTTTACCCTCTGTTGCATGGCTCAGGCTTGGCGTTAAGTAATGATATTCAGATCCATTCCCAGGACACCTAGAGACCTAGAAATGCCATAGCAAAGCTGTAACAGTCATTAAGCACTCAACAGTGGGTACAATTACAAACAGGGGCACTCAAAATCATTTTAACGTCTTCCAGACTTCACACAGATATCTGCTAAAACTCTCCTCTGCCATTAGGGTTACATGCAGAGCACCTGGGAAAGTTTCTGTGTTGAGTTTGTCTCCTTTTAAGCACATTTATCACACACTCTGCATCCTGCTTTAAGGCTGATTGCACACTGCTAAGACAGCTATTTCCTGCAGTGAGCCAGGAATAGGGACAGTGATTTCTCCATCTTTCCCCTCAACTCAGGTGACAAGAGAAGAGTGGAACGAGCTCTCCAGCATGACAAGAGAAGACCAGAATGAGCTCTCCAGCATGACAGACAAGGGAAGAGCAGGACAAGCGCTCCAGCCAGCACCCCTGGGTGCTCTCCCCAGTTTAACCCCTGCCAGAGGGGAGTTGCTGCAGTCACCCCACTGGTTACGCCACGGGGTGGTACTGCTGTTTTCTGGTCTCTGGCTGCAAGCCCAGGAGGCAACAGGGTGCCCACCTCCTCACAGCCTCGGAGGAAGGGTTTTGTCCCAAGATCAGCTCCAGTCTCCCGCCCCTTGCTGACGCAGTGGCACCACTTGGGTTTTCAACACAAAGCCAGCAAGTAGCACACCACCGTTTCCTTCAACAGACCCATATATGGAAGCTGGGGAGGCTCAAAAGGACAATTTTGGAGCAAGTCTCTAGAGCACAGAAAAAAGGCTCAGGGAATTATGCAGGAGAGAAGCTTATGTGTATCCATAATCCGGTACTGTGAATGTGTGCAACTGTAATCCTACAAGTGGTCATACTTACTTCAGTAGAGGGACTGATGTGTGCCTGCAAGTGTTTGAAAAATATCGAGATCCTCCTGAAACCTTAGGAACAAAACCTGATCTCTTCACAGAGACCTCTCTTTGGTATTGTAAAGGAGATTAAGACTTACGGTGAGATTTGATCTCTGGTCATCTGAAATAATCACACTGTCCACCACATTAAAATTTCTACCAATTGTAGTAATTTTGCGACCACCACTGTAAAAAACAAAAAGGAGGGGAAGGGAGGTTAATATTATCTGTTTCCCCACAGATAAGCCCTGCGTTAAGGCTTCAGTCGTGAATAAACTACTCATGTGCACTTTGCCTTGGAAGCAGCCAATATAATAAAGTCAAACTGCAGGACAAGATAATTTGAGCTATACAGTGCACTTCCATTCTTTCTTCATAGTGCAATGGTAAATGCTTTTGCTACCGCAAAACCAAATGCCTTGATAGCATACACATGCATACTCCTTTTCAGGGACTCTCCATCTTGTTTTCTATTCATGCAGCCAAAGAAGCAGACCGTGATTTAATATTCTCTCCTGAAGATGTGGTATTTCACTGGCCCAGAGCAGCCCTGCCTGTGCTTAATTCTTGCCTTCTTCAGGACAAACCGATAGTGCCAGGCACCTCACAGGAAACATTCTCGGCAGCGTTCAGACCATCTGTCTCGGCACACACAATAGTGCTTGTGTCTGAGGGCTCTGGCTCACAATCTCTGCTGAACACAGTCAGAGTGGTGTAAGGTATTATTAATTTCCAGCTGCCAGAGCTGCCCCTCACCTGGAGGTGAGGGCATGAGTTCTAGCTGCTCAGCTGCTGCAGCTGCCAGCCCACCTTATTACCTCAAATCCACACTTGCCAGTGCTCGACGCCAAGATATCAGATTAAGAACATGAAAGCGTGTAAAAACTGTGCAGGCAGAGGGACAGGTGGAAAGCTGTGCCTGAGAATATCTTAAAACCACCCTGTAAATCTTCCACTGGAGCTGTGTCTCCCACAGAACACAGCAGAGGCTTGAAATGGGCTGTTTTGGCTTTGGGGAACCTGGTCCTAAAGCAAGTCTGTGCGTATCACTGCAGTGGCGATTATTTCCACTTCATTTCCAATTCACTCAGACTTTATACTGTTTTGGAGGTGAAGGGTATATAAGTATCAAGAAACCAAAGTTAACTGGAGTTTGGATTAAGGCGTGCTACTCATATTTTGGATTTAGCTTTAGTATGAAGAGACCATTTTTGACTTCTACAAAGGAGACCTGGGGTGGGCAGGAAGCAGTTAACAGAATCTGGCAGAATGCTGAACCTGTCTTGCAGCTATCGTGACCCTATCTGTGTATTAAATGTTAAATCAGTTCACTGGCGTAAATTCATCCTCCACAATAGGTTACAGCATTTATCCAAGTTTACATCAGCTGCAATCTGGCCAAGCAAGGAGGCTCGTATCAACTCAGTAGGACTACATTTTAATAAATACATAAATAGTGTAGAAAGACAAATTTACCTGATCCAGGAGGTATTTGGTGTGATTCCAGAACATGATGGCAGTGAAACATAATGCAGGGTCATTGGTGGTGAACATTTTCTCCCATTAGCCTGTATACATATACTTTTGGCCTCTTTACGTGTTGGTGGGAGAGCAAACGTCATTTGTGTATCGTTTAGCACATTCCTAACTTTAATGCTGGAGGAGAAAGAAAACAGTCAGACGCTGAAACACAGATGCCACTATGCCACTCACGGGTATCACTACACAAAGGCGATAACCTAAAGCAAAGGATGAGGAGACAAGACGAATGAACCTCTTTTAGAGCTGCCAGATGGAAGTGCAAAGAGGGAGCAGGGAGCTGAAAAGACAAAGTAGGGCACCTTTTGAATGAAGTTGTTACGTGTCAAAATAATCACAGAAGATGGTACAGATATTGGTCTTATGGCCTTGGGATGAGGCTATGTAACGCAATGTGTGATTTTGCTGTGTAAACTGTGTACTTTGCTGTGTATTTTTCTGTGCTACCAACACATTAGCTAGTCAAGAATGAGAATCTTCAGTCTCCTCCCTCTCTGCCCCCTCCTCCCTCTCCTTCTCTCCTTCCTCCCTTTCTCTCCTCCCTCTTTGTCTCTACTTCCTCCTTCTCCCTCCTTTCCCTCTCTCCATCCTTCTCTCCTTTTGTTTTCTGTGGTCCCCAAGAAATTAATGGTTCAACTGAGAATTGAACTGTACCATACAAATACTTTTTCAAGTACCAGCTATGTAACATGGGCTTGGTAATCACAGGCAGCCACTGCAGCTGCACCTGAAAATGACTGATTCAGAATAAGACAGCCTAATTATCTAGGAGGGTTACACTGTGTAATCATCAACAGAGAAGAGTACACACTGTTGCATGAGAGATTCCCATCCCTGGCATGGTGTCTGTGCTTTCACAAGCAGAATCCTAGAATATACTGGGGATATTTTGAAGCAGAGGAGAGTCAAACAAAAGCTGAGGCTTTCCTGTGACCTCAGTTCTTGTTGTCTGCTGCAAGGCACAGAGGGCCACAGATACAGAAACACCCAAACTACTGCTGAGAGCTGCCCACCTACCCACCCATCACTTGTATGGTACCCAAACACCAAATTCATTTCCATCCCTGTGGAATATAAAGTGGAAGCATAACTAAAGGAGTGCAGAGCATCCCCTGCTCCGCTCAGGAGAGGTCCACAACAACTGTTCACACAACCCTATTGCTAAGGCAAACTGGGCTCAATTTTCACCATGCAAAGTAAATAGTATGCTTTTTCAGAGCTTAACTCACATGTCTGGTTTACAGCCAGTGATTCCAGTCAGTATCAGTTTTATGCCTGATGCATGTGTAAAGTTTTCTCCTTTGACTGTTATTTCACTTTTGCCTAATGTAGAAATCCACAAAGGTTCAATGGAATGAATGCTGATATGCTATCAGAAAACAAAGCAAAACAGAATCTGGTTATAAAAAGGCTAGGCAGTTAAACAACAGCTGCAAAAACCACCACCACTCAGGAATGCCAGTTTTATGGCGCTGGGATACACATTTCTATTAATTTCTGATCTTGTTAAGTTTAATCCTGGGAACTACTGTCAATCACAACTTCTTTACAAGCTAATTATTTTTACCTACATATTTTATATTTCAATTTATCTCATAACAAAGTTGCTCAAAGCAATGACAATCTGACATACTGGAAGGTAAGTATCATAAAACCCCATCTTGAAATGATATATTTTGTGTGACCCTTGAGGGACTAAGAAACAATGCACAAAAAAGCCCATGGTGCTGTCACTACGAGACATCAGAGAAACAAATGAAGGCATCTCTTGTGACCTGAAAAGGGGAAGCAGGGTAAATCCTAGAATGAAAAGTCAAGAAAGAGCCCCAGAATTAGCTTTATTAGAAAGTCTTTTCAAAGTTATACATAGAGGTAAAGGTACAACATAACTGTGGGGATTTTTTGGTATTCTATTTTGATGCTAAGCAGTTTACAAATCTATTTTCCACCTTTTTAGAAAAATCCCAGTTTGCTCTGGCACTGTCACAGTCTTGCAGAAACACGGCCCATTTTTAAACTTTGCTTTTCATTGCGTATCTCTGTATTTGCTTATTCTAACTTACTACCGAGCAAGAAGAGATATTTTTTCCCTAGTGTATTTACTTGATGCATTTGACAGCATCTCATGTTTAATCAGTTTTGCTGCTTCCTCAGTTTTATAATCACACAGATGGTTTCCTCTCTGTGTGTCGTTGAGACAACAAACTGAAAACATTCAAAAAAACCACGAAAATACACATGTGAAACCACAAACTGTTTGGGGCCTTCTTGGGCAAATGATTTCTAGCTTTATTTGAGACTGCCTATAAAACTCGTTTGAAGTGAGTTTTTAGAGTATCATGATTATCCCGATTGCTGCTGTTCACCTCAGCCTTCCAGGCCCTGAGAAGGGCGGTGGTGCAAAACCTCTAGGGAAGTCCTTCCCACGGGTTTTTTCTCCCTGCTCATCTTTTCATTTACCCAGAGCAGCACCAAGTCTTTGGGCTGGTGGCTGGCGGGGACCATGGGGTCACATCACCTTCCCCAGCAAACACAGCATTTGCCCATTTCAAAAAGGTCCCTGGCACATTTTCCCCGCATGCTACCATGGCCTGCTGAATGCCAAAGTGCTCCAGGGTAAACGTGAGACCTGTCACAACCGATTGAAAGCTGCAACTTGCGCCTTATGAAAGGGCAAGAGAGTGCAAAGGCTGGGGCCAGAGGGCATGCAAAAGGGCCTCCAAGATGACCTCTGGTATGGATAATGGAGGAGGGCAAAGGAAACCCCTGACAAACGGCCCGAGGGGGAAATTTCATTCCCACCCCAATCTGTGGATCAATTTAACCCTTAGTATGTGAGCAGGACAAATGAAGCAGAAATCTGAGCATTTAAAGCCAGCAAATCACCAGAGCTTTACTCCACCTGCGTCCCATCCCTCTGCTCGTGCCCAGCCTCCACCACACCAAGGACAGTCAGCATCCTCGAACAAATCCACAAGCCAAATACTACAGAAACGAGTGAAAAATTGCTTTGGGGCTCTCATCGTAAATGAGCAGGGAGCCCTGAAGCACAGGAATAACTCAGTGTTGCACAAACACACAGAAATCCCCCAAAGCGACATCAAAGCCGCGAGCCCTGGTGCAGGATCCGTGAGGTGTCCCCTGCCCAGAAGTGTGGCAGGACGCTGCGGCGCTTCATGGTCCCACCGGCCTCTCTGCCAGGCGCCGCACACTGCGGGGTGCCTCAGCCTAGCTTGCCCTTGTTCTTTTCTTACACTGAGAAGAAATGGCAGCAAGAACGGTTCACTCTGGAAGTTTCAGCCTCCCTGAAATCCTGCCTTCGCTGAGGTTACACGACACGGACTCCCTCACCGTGTCCTGCCTCAGGCTCATGGCGTCCGCACAGTCACTTGCAGTGCTGAGGCAAGATGGCATCGGCTACATGAGAGACTGCTTCCCAGCCTGACCAGTGCTCTGTGACACCTTCCTCAGCCGTGAAAGAAACCACGAATTTCCTCACTGAACGCAGGAGGGACCAAGTGTCCTTGCTGGGGTCCGTGGTGCTCATTTCCCCAGCGCCATTGCTGCTGACCTTCCAGTGGCTGCGTGGCGGGAGGAGAGATGCCCGGCAGCGAGAGGGAATGGAGGCAGCGGAGAGGCAGTAGGATATTTATAAAAATCACCAGTTGTGAGGCATGTGATGAAGGCAGTGTACACGCAGAGAGACATACAGAAAGCGTGTGCCAGGTCCTCAGGTAATGTAAATCAGCACTGCCCTGTCAACTTCAATAGAGCTCCACGCTTCTGAGCTGCAGCCCCCAGTGCCCCGGACAGCCCAGTGCTTCCCCGGGGCTGTACCCCGGGGAGCTGGTCCCCGCTCCTGCACAGCCCCTCCTGTGGTGCTAGCACGGGGCCCCAGGGCTGCGAAAGAACCAGATCGGGGAACTGGCCCAGATGAAAAACAACCTGCCGAAAGGAAGCTGTTATTTCCAGACAAATCAGCTCCCCAGCCAAGCGTACTCGCAGAACCACTCCAAGCGCTGCTCCGGCGCAGGGAGGGGGAAGGCGCACGTGTGGAAACCAGCAGCTGGAGTCAGGAGGAGGGCTGGGGCTGCCACCCGGAGAAAAGTGTCTTAATCTAAATGCTCGGCTGGGGCTGTGGGAGAACACAAATCCTCTTTCTCAGCTCTCCTGTATGTTCTAAAAGCACCAACAGTCAAAGGAGAGCAGGATTTCAAATGCAATTTCAAGCCCTCTGAATGGATCAATCACTTCTAAACAAACATCTGCCTTTGGACTGCCTCTAGTGCTTTCACTGCCTTGTCCATCACTGTCTTTCCAAGATAAGGCGTGTGGAAGAAAGCCATCTCTCAGGCAATTCCAACTATTTACCAATGTCAAATTAATGCACTTGGAAGCAGAGTAAAGAAGAATTTCCTCTGTTCTTTCACCAGCCGTAATGCTTTACGTGCAGACCAAACCCAGAATATTAATGCTCAGAAGCATAAGTATTACAGTCCCACTCGTCTCTGTGAAAAACGAAATGGATTTTGTGATTTTATTTAAGAAACCTCAGCTGAACAGCTGAATTTAAGAGGTAATTCCTGTCTTCACAGGTAAAAGTTTGGGTAGTTCTAATGAAACATTTAGAGATAACATCACAGTCACTATTTATACCAACTGTGCTACCACTCACAGAAAAGCAGAAACCAAAAAGTGTAGGCAGCAAATCTCTGTATACTTACTCATCAGTCAAATTTCTCTTCACTACTCATTTCTTTCCTAACACCTGCATGTCATAAGCAACCACTGATGACAAGATCGCTCAGTTTTATGAGAAAATAAAACCATTTTGGCACCATAAGGAATGAAGGGATAACCTTGTGGTTAAAGGGCTGGCCTACAAGGCAAAACATATAGACTGTATGCTCACATGCAGTCAATGTGATTTCAATAGCTAACTCAACAACCAGATTCAGAAGGTACTTTGGCACCAGCAACCCTCCTTCCTTTCCTGTGATCCAGCTTGAGCGGGATGGATGGAGAGTAACTCCATCTCCAGTTTTGTCTACAGCTGGAAGCAAGGAAAATTTTTCTGGAAGTGTGAACCAGGCATTTACTAGCACCAAGGGATTTCAGTTCCTGGATGCATCCTCTAGCCACTTGTCTGTTATGCAGAAACTGGGTGGCACATCCTGCCCTTCCTCCTTCTCCCCTGGCAGCTACGTTTCAGGGGAAGCTGTGATCTGGCTGCATAAAATGAGGAAAAGGTTTGAGACTCTGAAATCTAGTTTTACAGAGTTGTCTGTGACAGCAGAAATCAAACACACATTTAAGTCCAGGTAAAAGATTAAGTCTGAGATGTTCTCCTTTCTTATTTTTTTGTGGTTGGTCAGCTTCCACACTCCAGCCCTCAGCATGCAGGCTCCTGTGGAGTGCCTAAATACCGCATACAGGGACTTTGACATTTAAAGCAATATTGTAAATACTGCATCTAGAGGTAGGCACATGACTATTATAGTGTTCACTGTCGCAGTGCCTGGATCTGAAACGCAAATCTTTGTTGGTACCTTTAAGCACAACAAAGCACTAAGAAAAAGTAGTATCAGTCCAAGTTTTGCATTATATTTCTATGTAACCAGTTGACTGCCTCTTCATCCATACCTCTATTTTTCCTGCAAAGTCCTCTCATGTTAAATATATTTCTTCCCCAGCCCACAGAACATCAATAATGCCAATCTTAAAATGCCAACTAACCTCTGTTTTCTGCGCAGTGGCAATCCCCTTGGAAGCAGATGCATTACAACTATCCTGAAAAAAAATCAGCATTTCTCCACGTCAGGACAAGGAAGAGACAGATTGTTGCTCAGATGTAAAAAATACAAGGAAAAGGCATCACAGGGGATTCCAGTCCTCCCCAGCAAACTTCACCTGGCAGGTGCTGGCAGAAGAGACACGTGTCCATTTACAGCTGGCACACTCACCCTTGTGTACACATCGTGAGCAGCTGGTAACACAGAAAACAGAATTTTTGTAAGACATAGGAACTCAGTCTAGATTCAGCCATGAATGTGAAATTTCAAGTGACAGAAAAAAGCACAAACCCAAGGGAACAACCTGGCAAACATGTAATGAAACGCGTAAAACATGTAACCTGTTTTTACCCTCCAAGCCTATTGTTCCGTTGTGCTTATTCTGAGGACCAATCTGGTATGAAATACAATCTGTGCTGAGATGCTGAGAGTCATAAATTTCCAAAAAGCATGAAGCAGACAGAACACTTTGGGTTTCATTTTGCTGTGCTTTTCTCCAGTACATAAGTGGCCAGACAGTACTTTTAACCGGAAAAGGGCAGAAAATCATCACTGATTCTTTCACAGCTTGCCTGAACTTCTGTTCTGTGTGTGTAGTGCTAGCAAATATTGCTAGTTTCCTATTGCCTTCCCCAACCAAAAAATACACCTGTTGGAGACTGATTTGTCCCTATCTTGCTTCGCAATGCATCCAACAGCATGGAAGTGAGCCAAGAGCAGCACAGGCCCTCTCCATGCATGTTGAGAAATGCTCTGATTTACAGCAAGATGTCTCCTCCTCTGTGTTGCTCCAGGGACAGGGAAGTGATGTGCCACTTTCCAAAAAGCAGGACTTCAATTGCATCCCAGGTGCCTATGAACTAGCCTCTTTGTATAGGGGAGGAGCATTCTGAACGGGAACACTGTAGTTACCTACAGAGTATGTTAGCCAGATCTTTCTAAGTTTTAACAACCACATATCACTTAGGGTTTGGCCATGTACTGGGCACATATGCTCTCAACAAAAAGCGTGGCTCTGAAAAATAACGTGTACAGAACAACAGGTATTCATTATTCCTATTATAAGATTAGATATTACTTTCTGGTTTAATTGTATTCATGTTGCTCATGGACCAAATCTAAATTGCATCTGGCTCAATTAAAAAACAGCTCCATAAAGTGACTTGATTCCTCCAATCTAGGTCTTATCCTGAGTACCAAGGGCCCACCTTTTTCACAAGGACAAAAAGGATTTTAATGTCATTGAGACATCCTTTATTATCTCTTCAGGCATTTGTCATAAATTCAGTCACTGTAATGACTCTCCTACAGCTAGCTGCCAGGGTGCTGTTAAATCAAAGAGTTACCAGAAGAAATACCTTTCTAAGGACAATCAAAAAAGAGGAGAAGGAGAAGATGACCCAAGAAAAGGGATTTGACTATATTTAGTGAAATGTATTTCCTTAATAAATAAAGAATGATCGTAGTTCAGTCCCCCTCCCCATACAAACCCCTCAATAAACTTCAATAGGAACCAGACTCTTACTTTTTCAACCAAAATGTTTGTGTGATATTCCAAGCGCTTGAGGACAGCGATGCCTCGAGAACTAGGCAATCTGGAAAAATGTGACTGTTAGACATACACTGGATATTACAAGACATGACTGAAAAACATAATTGAGTTGAAAGCTCATGTGCCTTCAGCTGTTCTCTACATGGCCTGCACCTTCTCATCCACACATTCACTCACACTCTTGACTGATAGAATTAACTAGATTTTGTCCTTCCACAGTACCCTCTAGCTGTTTTTCCAAGACTTTATACACACTCATTAATTAAGCTTGATGCCACCACTGCACGACATACAAACGTAATGCCATAGTCAGGATACAGATAAGGAAATGCCACCGTGGAGCAGGGACATAAAATCATCTCCCAAAGAGCACACAGAGGTATACTGTGGCACAGCCAGACTCTGAATTCAAGCCTTCTGACACAACAAACTGTTCTAATGCAAGAGACCCCAACATAACCGTGCTTCTCTCTCTTTCTGTCTCAGAGACTTGGTTGCAGAGTCTTCTTTTGTAATCTATGCAGTAGCAATTTTCATCCTATTTAAATCTTTTATGATTGCATGAGTCAATTTGCCATTATTTCAGCTAGCAATTACTATACCAACCAATTCACTGGCAGCTGTGGAATGAAAGAGTATCTTCTCCCATGAGCAGAATACCACATCGAAAAGTAGAGTTAGATATATACCACTTAAGCCGTGGTCCCTTTCATCTGTGTGCCTGCAGATGTGTATGTCTGTGAAATGAATGGCTGTCTGAGATCAAATGAAACCCATGTGTGCAGACTTTTCTGGTTTCTCTATGCTAGGAAGTAGATAGCTTTTTAATCCGGGAAAGTTGCACAGATTTAAAGTATATCTACCTTCCAAAGGTAGTGAAAGCTTTGTCTTTCTCACAGGCTGGCTGGTTCAGAAGAAAACCAGCTTTGGCTACATCTACATTGTTAAATCAGAAGTTATCTCCTAGCTCCACACGTCAGCATGGCACTTGGGTGCTCACCACAAAGGTCACCTGCACTGCTTGCTACAAACAGCCCTTGGGACTGTTCATATGCTTAAATACCTTACTAAAAGGAGAGCAGAGAATCTGATTTTTCAAGGTGTTTTAATGCTTAAAGATGTGGATGAGCACACACAGACATTCTGATATCCTTCACCAAGCACCTATTTGCACCTCCAGAAATCTACATAGCTGCAGAAATCTGACATGTTGTGCACAAAATCGCCTAAATCCTTTGCCAAGGTCACTATATGAGAAAGGGTGTCCAGACATGAGCTACTCAAAAAAAAAGGTATTTTACTAGGAGTAGTAAGTAAAAGTAAGGAATTTATCTGCTTCTGGCAGAGCTTGTCCTCTCTTTTAAGTTTGTATAAATGGTTCAAAAACACTATCAAATATGGTTTGCTGATTTTGTCTGTGTTGAAATTAATGGAACCTATTATTCTCTGTACGGCTTGGGCTGACCTTTCAAAATGCACCAGACTGCACTGAGTAGCAGATATTTTCAAAATGTTTTTTTTGAGAAATGATACCTGAAGGAGTTTTGCAAGTGCATCTTCTTGTGAGACCGAGGTCACTTTACATGAGGTACCATAAACAGTCAACGTAATTTCCACACTTGCATTATCCATTAATATATCTCAGCTTGTAGGAGCATGTGAGTGGCAGTAATACTGGCGGGCACAAGCCAAGCTCACAGCCTTCTGGTTAACACTGTCAAATGGCTCATCTTGGCACAAAGCACAGGCAAGGCGAGCTGGCTTCTGTAACACTATACTCTGAAAAACCTGCTAATGGAGTAAGAGAAAGCCTTAGTCCGAGGAGTCAGAGAACCAAAACAATGTACTCCGTAATTGTAATAAAACATGGCTTTTGGGACTGGGTCAATAAAGGGTATTTTTTTTCTTTCCTAATGCACTTATTCCTCTTAAAAATCCACTAATAATGTTTACTAAACACAGCTTAATAGACCAAAATACTCATGGATATCACCCTAGCTGTCACCTGCTAGTGACAAAGTCTTTTCTTCTCGATTCCCAAATCAATACTGGACAGGAACTTCACACAGCACTTGTATGCTGCCAGAGGAGCTTTTCCCATACAAAGGCCACAGGATGAGCTCCTGAGATCCCAATATTCCAAGGAACCTCCACCAGGGGCAAGGGTGCCTGAGAGAGAGAGCTCTTTGCTGAGTTCTTCAGAACAACAGGTCATTGTTAGTTCTGGTTAACGTTTCATTCCTCCTTCCACACAAAGGTATTATAAAAGAATCAGATTCATGCAGAGTATTACATCTCTTTTTGGCTATATTATCTAAGAAAAGATAAAGGTAGGCATTTATCTGAATTTTCTGTTCCCTCTTCAAGTCACTTAAGAGCACATGGTATCCTTGAGCTTGCTATCTTTGTCCCTCAGTTTAGATTAAAACTCTCTTTTGTATTCTAATATATGCAACTTTAAAAAGGTACAAGGTCAAACTGTATTAAAAAAGCTTTGTGCTTCTATAAAGACCCTTAAAGCAATGCAAAGGGGACATTTTCCTTGTATTAGTCAAATAAGACTCTGCTGTGAAGGATTATCATCTAATCTTTGAGATCAAAGCCTAGAGAACAGCTCAAAAGTCTCAACATTCAGTACTTATTACCTCATTCTAAAACCTGTAGTTGCCCAAAGGATGCACAAAACAGATCACATGCATCATGCGTCCAGCACAAATGTCTCAGGTCTCTAATTCTGAGAACTACTGGTAAACAAAGTAGTATAAGAATTATTGCTAAATTATTCAACCAATAGTTCATAAAGATGAACATGGTGGTGTTGGGTTGATGGCTGGACTGGATGACCTTAGAGGTCTTTTCCAACTTTTATGATTCTATGATTCTATGAATGAAATCAAGTCAAAAAGATGTACCAGCCAAATTTCCCCTGAACCATGTATTTTTCTGCTGATCCTCTACATGGGACGATCACTTTCTCACATGTGTCTAAGTTAGGCTGAAACAGTTAATAGAATATTAAGAATATTTATTGTACAGACATTCATAGTCAGATTCTTCTCTTATTTATGCTAGTATAGGTCCTTGCAAAAACAAATGCTGTTTGCAGATGAGAGAAGGGTTAAGATGGGTTAATTCGTCAAAGCAGAGCACTGGACCAACACTGCTTCCACAGCTCCAGCCAGACTGATTGTCACTGCAGCTATCTTAAGTTTCCTTAGATAGCTATTAACGGCACCATGTCAATATACCCCTGATGCTACAACACTGCACTGCTACAGGCTGAACTGAAGAAGCTGCTTCTAGCCATAGGTTAACACATTTTATTACTTCTAGAAAGGATTCCATATTAACATATCTTTAATTATCAAGAATGGTGTAATTCTACTCAAATCACTTGACAAAACATGAATTTTTTTTTCAGTGACATTTAATAAAAAGCATTACCTACTCTCACACTCATTAGGCCTACATTTATTCTTAGTTCTCAGTAATAAAGGACAGCAAATAAGCAGTAAATACATGTAATAGTAAAACATACCATTATCAGTTATCACCAGAGTGGTCAGATCGCAGAAACAGGATGAGTTTTTCAGCACTACATTTTCATAAAATATTTCAACAGGTTTCACAATTTTTATCATACAGGAAGTAAGTGTTTTGCTTATGCTTGCAGCCACTGCAACCTATACAACAATAAAAACAAGAATAGACCAGATTTCTTGTAATACTTGTTAAGCCACCACCTTGTCTTTACAGAAAACTACAAACTATGAAATGTACAAAATGAAAATTTTTGTGGCAGAAGCAGACAATTCACTAGGTTGCCTCTCAAAGGAGAAGGCCTCTCCCACCTGAAGCAGGGATGCAGGAGGCGGCCAGAAATTAAATAGATCTGTAAAGGTATGTTAGGGGAGCAATCTGGAATAATTTTGCATTCTAAAACAAGAATTTTGCTATAACAGTGCTATATGCTGTTCTACAGTTATATGCTGCTTATAGTCCCTTAAAAATATTTGAGCAAGAATTTACAAATCCTCATAGAGAGACAACATTTGCATCCATAACCGAAGTGTACTTAATTACGAAACAGAACTTGTCTAGTAACGAATTATCCTTTGTTTCTGGCTGAAAGTGCTTTACAAATATGATCACATTAGTGCATTCAATCAAGAAACCAGAAACAATAGCATGCAGATTAAGCGGCCAGTCATAATACTTGATAATCAAATACTCAAGGCTGTGTGTGCTGTGAATAGATAGTGAGTAAATACTAATATCAAACACTTAAAGACGCATTTGTGTTAGCATACGTGTCCCAGTGAATGTTTTGCCACTCAGTGCAAAGCTCAGAACTTACATAGTGCACTTGATATATAGTCACTGGAAATATTAAAACAGCTAATAAAGTGATACAACAGAAATGTTGCCTTTGTCAGCATGGTGAATTTTTGACTCAAAATCATGAAGTACAGCTTCAGGATGCATTTTTTAGGAGAGGAAGAAAACATCTATCTGACTGGCACATTCAACTTGCTGGAATTTTCCATACATTTGCCAATTGCTGTGATAAGACGGAATAATGTATGGAACATGGTGACAAAAGAAGGGAAGTGGCAATAAGCAACAAAGTGACACATTTTAAGTCACAGTAAACAAACACGCATAAAACTGGGTGTACATACCTGATTTTTGGCAGGGAAACTTAGCAGGATTTTCAGATCTTTATCAGGTGCATGTGAAATGTTATACCAACCCTTTGTGCTGTTTGAGCTTGTACAATTTTCTTTTAATGTGCACCTAGAAGTATACATAAAATTATACTAGCCTCCTCATCATGGCTTTGACTTCAGGCACTGTACTTCAACTTATTTAATGTTATTGATTTTTTACAGGAATATGGTTACAACTGCAAAAAGCTTCAGGAAAACAATCAGGAAGATCTTCTGCTTATCAAAATGAATTACATTGCATTGATATATGCTCTAGGGTCCTGATTAAGTCAATGGGACTCAAGCAAATATTAGACACTTGGCCAGTAACAGTGGACTTGGTAGCCTGGGATGGAATTCATCACTCCCAACTAGATTGCTCCATTGTACAGCTCTAGATCTGATGCTCCTCATTCCCTCTACGGTCAATGGGGAGAAATATGCTCCTTCTGGGTGCAATTCACCTAATCTATTTCAGACATTCATACAAAAATTAAATGAATTACACAATAGGAGCTGCTTGTTCTCCTCAAAGACGGTAAGAGGAGATGGGCATGAAGCTCAGATGTAGAGCTATGCTAAGAATGCGTACAGTTGATGAGATGCATCCTCCTTCCTAAACCCCTCTGTTGTCTATTGATGTGAATGGTAATCTTTCCCTTTTACATCAGTACACTTGCTTAAAACACTAGGTTTGACAAGGCAGTTCAAAATAGATTGCTCTGTCTTCAAGAATAAACTCTATTTCAGAAGTAGGATTGCACACAGTAAACAAAAATGTTACAGATGTCAAATTGTAGGAAACGGAAACTACAAAACAGAAAATTAAGGAAGAATGAGGAAACTCTGGAATACTACAAAGATTACACGTATTAAAAACATGATAAGAAAAACAGAACACAGGCATATAAGTTAGTTGGACAATCACTGAGTTTGAAAGGTGAATTCTTAAAGTATTGTCTGCTGTGAACAGTTAGTGAACGATCCATAGATTAACTCCAAGTAATTTCATATAGTTAGCAATTAAAGACAAGCAAGTGCTAACTGCATGTATCTTCATATTTAAATATTAAGATTGAATATCTATAAATAAATGTAACATTTAATATTATTTCAATAATACTACTTTTCTACCAAACATACAAGCATGTATAGCTTCAATCATACGGTCAGGGTCATGTGCCTTAACAAACTATTCCTTTGCTAAAAACTACCAATGAGGACATACTTGCAAAGCATGAGCCTTTTTCATGAGCAGCCCACTGTACAAAAGCATTTCACAAACAATGTGTTTTCTCTCCAGAAGGAATAACACAAGAAGGACTTTCAAGAAAAATATCCACCATTTTCCAAAATGCCCTAAATAACCTCCCAAACCACAGAAACCGTAAAGCCATCTTCTCTGTAGATCAAGACGTTGGCAACTGGAATGCAGTTAAGCACAAGGTCACTTCCTTTGTGGTCTAACGCAGGAAACTGAGTTCCTGCTGCACAAGAAACCAGTGGGGCTTTGCATTTGAATACATTCAGATCATAACTATACTGTAAGAAATTGGGACTATGCCTGACAGATTTCAGACTGTCTGAACTAGGACAAATTTCAGTCTCATTGATCTCTCTCTTCATCTTACTGAGATCATGAAGGTCCATTAGCACCCCAGTTTTAGAACCACAGAGGATGTGATCTGTCATCAACAGATGTGCATAAACCAGATGTTCGGATATGTACAGGTAGATAACTGGCAATGACGCATGGGAGAGAGACATCCTATAGTCTGATATCTGACAGGCTGAGGATCATAACATTGAAAATGCAAGGCAACGCACTTGCGATACTTGGCACTGAACAAGTGCATGCATTTCAGTGACACTAATACTAAAACATGAAACAGGAAAACTGTTTATAAAGCTGAATATTTAAAACTGTCCTAGGACGAAGTTATTTGCCTTCTTAGACTGCCTGAGGAACACCAGCAATGAACTAGCTTCCCTCATCTACAATGAAGAACTTAAGAGTTTCATGGAAAAAAAGTAATTCCACTCAGAACCCAGGGTTGTGCTTGTCTTCACAACAGGAAAAATGCATCTTTTGTTGCTCTAAAAGTTGACCTTTAACACTCAAACAATGAGCTACGGAGAATGGTCGTTACATAGGAAGCAGTCGCAAAGGGGGAAGTAGAGCATCTGATGCCCCCCAGCATAAATTCTCACAACTGCCCTACACAGGTCAAGAGTAACATGAATTCCACTCACCTAAAGATGAGAGTATTTTGTTATATCCCTATTTTCAGACAATTAATATTGTTTGCAAGCACATTGGAATTAATATAACAGATAAATATTATTTGTGAACCACATGGTTCTAGAAATTAATATACAGACTCAGACAACTACTAAGTCTGGCTTTCTTGGAAAGGTGGACTGGATCAGACTCTATACAAGTATGAAGGTATAAGGCTGTGAAACCCTAGGATCAGATCGCAGACATGTATAGACATGTGCATGGAGAAAAGCAGAGTCAAGGGTTTTTTTTAATCTTTCACAGCAAGCTAGTTCTTTACACTACTAAAGATTCCTCTTCACAATTGGAATCAAGTTCCTCTTATTTCATTACGATAACATGACACCTATGCATATCGGTTCATCCATATTTACTTAAGTCTCTGCTTCACTAATCTTGTATTAACCACAGATCCTACCGAGCTTGCCCTCTCTGCCTTGATAAAGATATCCTCATGGAACGAGAACATGGTTTCAGAGAAAGTTTTGGCTTCCTTTTCCAAGGTACTAGCTCCTGTACAAAGTCCACAGATGTCACACACACCGATTGAATTCGAAAGTAAGTCTGGTCATGTCAGATAACGAAGACATATTGTGTTATTTCCACATGGAAAATACATGTAAAACATCAGTGCCTTGCATTGGAGTAATATCAGCATACTTCAGGTAAATCTGACTAATCTATAGAAAATCTGTAAACATTAAGAGAAATCACACAATGCTATGACTAACTATTTTGCACTAATGTAAGTGAAAAGGATAACTTTTATGTTTGTCCCTATGGAAGAAAGAGTAGAAATAGGACCAGTAGAAACATTTCGTTTCCTTTTGTTTTCACTTGCAATAAGAGATGTGGATTCTTTCATCAAAACACAGGATTTGAGTTCACATTGTCTTTAAAATGAAGCACTGCTGGTAAGTTTTATTTTAAAAATGAAGTGCATATTTAATATAAAATTTATTTCCCAGTAAGAGTATAAAACACATCATCGATCTCAAAATTATTATGGAATATATTGCTTTAGTGGACATGTATGGACTTCGATTAAAATACTGGCTAAAATCATGTCTTCCTCTTTTTTCCAAAGCTTCACTCAGAGCTCTCTCTTCACAAAACCAAATATTTAATGATGCTAAGTGCGGAACAGCGAAAAATTACGTGGGTGTTGAACGGGATTCATATTATAGCAATTCATTTTCTCTCCAGAAGAGTAAATTATTTCTGTTTCAACCAGATGGAAACTTTTGGTGATTCCCCTCATAAACAGGGGATTTACTGACTAATAACTGTTTACTTGTCGCAAACTGTTTATAAGGTAACGAAAAGCCTCAGAAGCTTAACACGGTAACATATACAGTTTCTAACAAGGTAGCGTAAGAGAGTTTGAAGAAAACACATTACAGATTAAAAACCTGCTCTCTTCTAGTAACTACCTTTGCAAACACAAAGTAGGTCTCCAGCAAAATCCCATTAACATTGAAATAAACCAAAATGGGTAGTATTAACAGTCTAAAAGAGGGCCAGTAGTGGAATTCCTCAAAAATCATTCTTATAAACACTTCTGTTTAACTTTTTAATCACTGATGAACTGGCATAAAAGAAGGTTTACACTGCCAACATCTGCTGATGATACCAAGTCGAGAACATTACCATGCAGAGGAAGGTGAGAATATCACACAGAAAAACTTGGAAAACCTTGAAACGGGATGACATTTCAAAGCATAAAGAACACATACCTAGAGCAACAAAAATCTCACAACCCATATGTGCTATAGACTGGAAACTCATCAGCTGGAAGGAAAACAAAGAAGGAGAAGGACCTGGGGGCATTATTTGATCATGGATGACTGTGGCCCATCAGTGTGATGCAGTCATGAAAAAGATGTTTGTGATCCGAGGACACAGTAAGTAAGGTGATTCCTGGACAGACTGATTAAACACCATTGAGCAAGGCACAGCTGAAATCTCTTCCAGAACACTGTGACAGTCCTGGCTGTCCTTATTTTAAAACGATGGATAAACTTCACAGAAGGGCTGCTGGAACGGAGTTAAGAAAGGAGTGTCTTATGTGACAGGATCTTAGTGAAGTTAGCTGTTTTAGTACACCAAAATGAAAGTGGAAAAAGAGACTGTCTTCATAAAAACATCGAGGAGGTAAGTATGAGGGAGGGGGAAAACCTATTTAAGCCAAAGTGATGTGAGCACCAGAACAAATGAGTATAACCTGCCCATGAACACACATGTGATGAAAATGAGCAGGCAGATTTTAACTAGCAGAACAATGAGACTTTCAGATAGCCACACAACCAGGGCAGAGAGGACAAAAAGCCTATCTAAACTTAGGATGGTCCTTGATCAGTTTATGAGTACGTTTGCATGATGTGGTTTGCCAGGACTAGGCTTGATGACCCAGGAATTTCTCCAGTCCAGGACAAAGACATACAGCGGCTTTCAAACCTGCTTCAAAGAAAGCAACAAAACCAATGACTCAAATGCAAGGATGAAGTGTTTAGAAAGAAATTCTCCTCTGGCCTAAACCAAAGGCAGTGGTTCCAAAGCAAGGAACTATGAATACTGAAGACAATTGAGCACT